TGGGCCACTCAGTTTTGATAATCCATGACATTTGACATGGTTCCGTCTCTTCACGGTGCCACTAGAGACGGATAATTTTATTTCACTCCGACATAAATGTTGAGATAAGTAATGAATTTGATCTGGTCACCCGTTTAATTGCTGTTTTGTCTACTTATTTAAATCAAAATAACCGAAGGTTTGTTGTCAATAGTTAAAACACTATTCTTTAGAATTGTGTTTTTCTATTGAAAAACAAATCTGAGTTCCCTGACAATTTGGCAAAAGCTGCCTGAGATCAGTACCTACAACTTGATGCTCTTGAAAACGGCTGCTCCAAAAATTCTGATTTTTTCAGGATTTCTAGTGGGCCAGGTGATCTACGTTCTGGTATGGGTCTCCCCTCCGCGGACCATCTGGTGCACGTGCCACGTGACTTTTAAAATTCCCGTGTTAAGCCAATGGGCAAAATGAAAAAATGCGTTCCACGGCAGATTGCTCGAAAACGATCCAAACGACCCCCCATTTTCTTACATGCATATCAACCACCATTCGGTGCACTACCCATGGGTATGTCGCAAAGTGGCCGGAAAAGTCCAGAACCACGTGCCACGTGCCGTTGAAAATGACCCTGCACACCGGAAATTGGGACTTTTGGTCATTTCGGCGCACCCATGATGCATACTATGGCGTGGGTGACCAAACGATGGGTGTCATCCGGTCGGCAACTGTTTAAGGTGTCGTCCAGTGGGCCAAAGTGGTAGTTTCAAACTTTTGGGATCCACCACTCTGGGGATTCTTTTTGACAATATATGTACTTACGTTTCTTGGCGCAATGTTCATTCCACCCAGCCGGTCGTCAATGCGTTAGGTGACCCAAATGACGATTGACCTGATGGAAGTTGGGGGCGAGGAACACGCACGTGCCATCCGTTTTTTAATCGGGCGCTTTCATCTAGGAGATTTTTGCAGATATCTTTTGATTTGTGAAAATGACCAGCCTAGCGGTATGCCAGCCGCTGATAAGTTATTATCTTGCTGCGGCCGGGCGCTTATTTGCGGTGTTTGCGTTTGGCGGCTGGCGGGCGACTTTTAGTCGTCGGTTAGCAGTTAGCGTCGGTGCGGTGCGGGCGTTTTTTTCGGCATTTCGGCGTTTTTTTTTCTGTGTTGTTTGCGGCGGTCGGGCGATTTTTTGCCGTTTGCGTTGGCTTTTCGGGCGTGCGTTTTACACGTTTTGCGGTGTTTACGTTTTGCGGCGGGCGGGCGTTTTGTGTTTTTTGCGGTGTTTGTCTTTGGCGGCGGGCGGGCGGGCGGGCGATGCGGGCGGTTTTCTTTTTTTGCGTCGTTTGCGGTGTTAAATTTGTTTGCGGTTGGCGGCCGCTTTTTCGTTTTTTGCGGTGCTTTTTTGGCGGCGGGCGGGCGATTTTTAGGCGTTTTCTGTTGGCGGTTAGCGGGCGTGCGATGCGGGCGGTTTTATTGTTTTGCGGCGTTTTTGCGTTTTTTTATTTGCGGTTTGTGGCGGGCGTTTGTTTATTTTTGCGACCTTTGCGTTGGCGTTTCGGGCGTGCGTTTTGCGCGTTTTGCGGTGTTTGCGTTTTGCGGCGGGCGGGCGTTTTTCACAATTCAAAGTTCAAACCTTCGGGCCACAGCGCTCCTCGAAAAGCGCTGCCCTCGAGTAAAGCAATGCTTAGTGACAGATTATTTAAATCATGTCTTCCGATAGTCATAGGATGCGACATTATAGACATGAAACACATCTACGGAAGAGGTAATTTATAATAAATAAAAAACGTAACGAGCAATCCATTGCCACCTATGCTGACCAGAAAAACGTCCAGAACCCAGATGCTTAAAAAATATAAAAAATATTGCTTCTTTACTGTTTAATGTTTATATGCCTGACCAACGGCCAAACACTATCAAAACGATGCATTCATAATAGACGGTGCATTCTGGCTGGGAAAGTATGACATCACAACTTGCCTCACTCTTAGGACCTTTTTATTTTATTTATTTGTCATTATGCATACCTTTCCGAGCCTGCTACATTGTTCCGATGACCGATAATAACCTGTCTTTTACTGGCAAGCAGCGAGCCCAAGTATAACTCTCTCGCCTGCCTCCAAGCTCTTTACTTCTATAGCCCATCAATGACATGAGCAGCAGCCATGTTTATGGTCGGTTCGCGTGCGGCCGCAGCATCACATGCAGTAGGCCGGCGCGGTGGGGTCGGACGCCTGAGTTCCGGCCGGGGTCGGCGAGTGCGGAGGTCCTGGCCAGGTGCACGGCTAGTGTGGCGGTGCAGGGCCGCCACCGCAGAGGTCAGCTAAAAGGTAGCGAACGGCTAACAGCGATTAGAAATGCAATTAACAGCGGCAGAACGGATACGTGTGGTCCATGGAATCTATGGTAACTGCAGCGCCGCACATAAGCGGGGCAGCAAGCTTTATAGTGTTACGTGACCTTTGCCTTTGTCTGGCCGTCTTGATAGGTATACCTATATGTCCCGGTCACCTTTCCATTCAATAATCGAACGGCTTATGTTTTCGGTCACACACCGATTTTTTTCTTTATTGCTCCTTTTATGTGCGTTCTGTTTAAACGTCAATGCATTCTCCTCAGGAGAGAATGAGGTGTTGACATACAGGAAGATTAAAACGGCCTCTTATAATACCATAACAAAACAAATACGCTTAGTTTGACGATTGATTATATAGCTTCATGAATGACAGTCACAGTCACATGTGACCGAGGGAGGCGTGCAAACATTTCCAGGACATGTCGCGGGACATTAGCATTTTTCTCTCTCTACCACAGTTCCACTCGCTCAAAACCGACACCATTCACACCCGAGCTCATACATATTCCGGCGGCCGGACGGGCGGGCGGCGCACCACAGCTTCTCTCTCTCTACCCCGGCAGGAAGACGGAAGTCGCAATCTGCGTCCGCTGGGCGCAGGAAGCCGTCTACCGACCGGCACACGCCGGGACGGCCGAGGGATGGGTCGGACGGCGCCGGGCGCGACCCGCTCCCTCCACGAGCGGCCCTCTGTGTATATGCCGTGTGCATGGTGTGGGACGCAAATGATTGCACCAGAGTCGACTCTATTTACGTTCAGCCTCTGTTCGTACTCGTGTGTCGGTGCGTCGAACGAAGTCCCGTGACCGCAGTTCATCCCCTTCTCAGCGTAAAGCCCAGTTTTGAGCATGTGAATGTTTATATAGGTGCTTTGACCTCAAGAGTTTACGCTTGCGAAACGTCTATCGGAAAGAAAAAATCAGGGCACATTGTCACAAGAGACTAGAGCGAGAAAAATAGGACCTATGTTGGCATTGCAAGCAGAAACACCTCACCTTGGAGTCACCAGCCGAAGTTGACGTTCCAATCTCCGAGCCGCCGGCAGTCAGCACTTCCCACGGAACCACCCACCCGTCAGCATGAGCGCCCTGTACCTACCGGCGGGGGCACCACACGCGCTCACAACCCACACGGCCCCGCCGGCGGACGAACCACTGACACGGCCCAACCCGACGGCCGTCCGCGGCAGCACTGCTGCCATCTGCCGGCGGCGGCCGAAAATTAGGGCAGAACAGAACGAGCGGGGAGACCGGCTAAAGGTATGTGGATTACGGGTGCTGCATTACTGCAAATGATTATTACTTTTTTATCGTCTTTTGCACATTGAAATGTTAAATGTATGGATTTAGGAGCTGTGCGCCCCAATTTATGTGCTGAGAAACAGGCCAGCTCACAGTGACTCAGTCGTCTCTGTGCGTGTTTAGGTATGTAGTCCTACCTACTGCGTTCGCAGGGAAGATTGACCAGTGACACAAATACCTACCTTATCTCACGCTTCTCTCCGAGCTTCCTCAATCATTTTTTTAGTGATTATATCCGGCGCATGAATGTTATGTGCGTCCCTAAACGTCATCGTAGTGACGTAGTCTACTTTTCGAAATTCCATTCCAATGGATATCTTTGTTACCTAGACATCCTCCGATAGTGAAAAAGTTTCCATGTAGAAAATGTAGCACTATACATTTAGATAACACCTGATGAATCTGGAATGGAAGATTTTTTGGTTGTCCAGACACCATACCTAACGGAGTTACCGCGTGTCACTACGTTTTGCGGTCGTGGTATTCCATGACCAGACCTCACCCCGACCGTGGAGCCAACTTGGTCACGGATTTAGGGAGTCAGTGCAGCGCCATGCCAGGACTAGATTTGACAATAACTTGCAGCACTGCTACTTTATGGTGTGCATATGTCAGGCAGGATGCTCTCGAATCTCCATGCCGGTATGAACCGTTTTACAATCTATTACAACGCTATGGGCGCAAAATGACCTCGTAGTCGGCGCGCCCCTAACCCCCAACAAACAAACTATTACAACGCTCTCTTTGCGGCAAGCTATAAACAGAAGCATTTTCGATTCAAAATACTTGTGTGAGTTGAGTACCTTACCTCGAAAGTGCAGAGCGTGACAGAAATGAATCTCATATTGCAGTGACCAAAGTATGTTCATCAGTTGACAGCTACCTTGTCAAATGCTAAATCAATGTTCCAGTTAGCAAACTCGCAAGTGATCTCGCCTTTGACGAACTCAAGAGAACTCGCCTTTGACGAACCGGCACACCTTGAAAAAGTCAACGCTGCTTGTAACCTGTTCGGCACATGATCAGAAAATAGCCGGAACCCGAACAAACAGGTCAAAGCTAAATATATGCAACTGTTGGGCATCAACATTGCGTTGGTGCAGGGACCCCTCGCGGTTTATGTATCTTGCGAGCGTTGTGATTTGTGATGCGAACGTTGTGATTTGAGATGTGAACGTTGGGAGATACGCTAAATGTCACGCACCTAAACATTAAACATGGCAACCTTTCACCTTTCGTTGATAAGGAATGGTATAGTTGATTAATGCTGAGCGATGCGCAATTTTTCATAAGCAAACACATCAAATATGAATCTCGCCCTAGGTGTTCTTTGTGTGGGTGTACTGTTGACACATGGAATGCTAGGCAAAAAGCCAGTCCACGCATCATTTATTATCCATGTTAGCACACCGGTAGTCACAGAGGACGCGTCACACGCCACAATCATTCCCAATGCGATTCACTATTCACTGTACAGCACAGAGCAACACTCCACCAAAAAAGGTACCTAAACGTTCGACCTGGAACCGCGACTAAGCGACGGCAGGTCCCGTACCCCGTCTATGAACCGACGGTAGTGTACCTGACTGCGGCCCCTATCGTCACGGCCGGCCCGCCGACACTGCCCGTCCCGTGTCGCGGTGCGCCCTAGGATCTCGCGGGCGCCTCCTACTTGAACATGCCGTACTCCATGCGCTGCCACAGGTACTTGGGATCGGCGTGCGCGTAGAACTCGCAGATCTCGGGGTCGGTGAAGCCGCGGTTGGGCCGCTCGTAGATGGGCAGGTCGTACAGCTGGCCCACCTTCCAGCCGGGCACGTCCTTCATCAGGCGCGCCTCCTCCTCCCGGTTCCGGCTCAGCTGCTTCAGGTACCTGACACGCATATTCAGAGGTGAGCTACAGACCCCGTCACGGCTTTACATACTCTACACTGTCTAAGCTGTCAAGCGCTATCCTCACAGAAGCCAAACGCAGGTAAAATGAGGTCAAGAGCATGCAGTTTTAATCACCAAAAACTTATTATAGAATAGCATGACAGCATACTCGTATATGCCAATGAATGATCAATATAAATTTCATTCACACACCAGTATAACAGAATAAATTACAGCAACAAAAGTGTGACCGAATATGGTGCAAATGTTTAGATGTCTAATTGAATGAATATTTAATATTTCTGGCACAAGTAAATGGACAAATTAAGCAGGAATTGCAAAAAGGAGATACATAGCATATTTAACTTTGGAAATTGCTCTCATCACAGAAAAATACTCACTCCCTGTCACGCTCTGCAAGAAGAATGGGGAAGATTGCATTGTGACTGCTGCGCTGCTCAATTTTTCTATTCTTGAACACCTTGTGCATCCGATGTGTGAGCCAAAAACCGAATGCGAACAGTCCAAGGTAGCCAGCAATCATCTGATAACCTGAAAGATAGAAAAATGTCTTAGTTTTATCACATAGATACTCATTATGTTTAAAGTCTGGCAAATATTTAATAATCATAGACCTCTCTACTTCTATGAAGTTAGCATATAAATATAGAGGTCTATGAATTAACTCAAGATGCAGCCTGGTAAGTGGCAACCATGGATGGGATGCATCATGCAACAACTGGGCCGTGGCTTTGGGAAATTAAGGCCTAGGATTGCTAACCATGTGGATTTTTGTACAATTTTAAACAAGCTTTCCATAAAAGTTCATTTTTTTTAGGTAAACAATAAAAAATACTCATATTCAGTCAAGTTCAACACCAGGGAGGGGCACACAGCAGATGATTCTATTAAAGGTCATTGTGCAAAGCAATTGCATCCAGTATCCACTGATCTGCTGTAAAACTTCAAAATTTGTTGACCTACCATGATAAATCCCATGGATAAAGTAGTTTTTTTAGTACCTACTATGCATCTTTGTTGATGTAATCCATAATCATGTCCATAATATGGACAAAAAGTTTAGTTTTCTTAAAAAGACCACCCCAGAGGGGTGTTCACGGGCACCGCACACTGCTGCGTACGGTGTGTGCGGTACGTCCAGCAGGCGTGGGGGTAGGGGATGGGTAGGCGGCTCTGACGTCACGGCTGCGTGCGGTGGACGGTCCGCTGTGGCCAGTCCCGACCGGCCACAGCGGTCGCTGTGTGCGGTGACGCAAGGCTGACGTAGGGACGCAGTGGGCGGAGCTTGGAGGCTGTGTGCGGTCCGACCGCACACAGGGTCAGTGAACAGCCCTCTGCTTAGACATAGATTTGGGTTAAAGGGACCCTCCCACCTTAACATTAGTTTTGAGTTGAGATAGCCAAATTGGTGGCCATGGCCTGAAAATACCGGTTTGGGCATTCACAACATCGAAAAATGCCTTAATTCGGAGATATGGAATTTCAAACTTGCAGTTTTCGGATTCTAAGGGGCTAATGCATTGGTATGCCCCCTTAGAATTTGTGACGTCAGCGGAGATCTAACGATTTTTAAATCTTTTACTAAAACGTTTGGCAGCACGCGGTGGTATATGCTGCTTTGCGCGCAACAAATGCCGCACTTTCAAATAAAGTCGCTAGGAACAGCGGAGATCCCAAAAAGTAAACAAAAGTAAAAGTCTAATATCTTGAAAACCGGTGAATATTTTTCGATGAAATTTGGTAGATATTCATTTTTGCTCTTTCTGAACCGAGCGACATCACTTTCATGCCAATTCATTAACTTTTTTGAAGGTGGGAGGGTCCCTTTAACATTAGAATTGAGTTGAGAATTGAGATAGCCAAACTGGTCCTTGGCTCACAATCACCGGTTTCAGCACTCACAACGTAAAGAAATGCCTTCAATCGAAAATATTTAATTTCAAAATTGCAGCACTTGTACTCAGATGGGCTAATGCATTTGAATGCCCCATCTGAATTTTTTATGTCAGCATAGATCTAGTGATTTCAAATCTTTTACTAAAACCTCTGCAAGGCTGTTGTGGTACCTTAGGTGTGCTGCCTTGAGCCCAATATCGATATCTGCCACACTTTTAAGATATACCTACCAAATTATTGCTTTCAAATGACATCAGGGAACAGATCAAGCTGCAAAAAATAAACAAAAGTAAACATCTAATGTTTCAGAACTGGTGATTTTTTGATTTGTTAGATACATATTTATTTTTGCTCTCTCTGAACCACAATACATCACTTTACTGCCTATTCATCAACTTCTTTGAGGGTGGGAGGGTCCCTTTAAAAAATACAAAGGTATATACCATTTTTCATCATTTTTTTGCACAAAATTCGGTAAATATTTACTTTAGGTCCGCAATATTATTTTAACAAGAAAAAATGCACATTCTTACACTATTTGATGTCCTGAATTCAGATATGATGCTTAAATGCATCAAAAATGTAAAATAAGATACTAAAACCCCAGTACATTACACCGCACTGCTGCACAATACACACTGAAGGAAGCACGCTTCCGCGACAAAAACGAAACATACAACGCTGCCCTATAAAAGAAAAAAATGATGCGGATATTCATTAGTTTTCGACGTTATGAAAATGACGTCATAATACCAAAGCACAAGAAAAACGGTGAATAAAAAAGAGAAAATATTTAGCAAAGGTAATAGAGCATGAGAAAATGATCAGAACATAACCAAACCTTACCTAACCTGACCTACTGATGTTTGCCTACTGGGGGAAAAGGAAAAAGTGACTTGCATGAATAGATTGCAAGCAATGGTAAGTCAAATATTTCTAGGTTAAGTGGTTATGCATCAGGCTTCAGGCCTTCGGCCTGAAGCCAGATACACAACCACTTAACCTAAAAATATTTGACTTACCATTGCCTGTAATCTCTCCTAAGGCATTGCCTTCGGCACTGCACCGCTCCGCCTCAATTATTTTGACGTCACTTTCCTCACAATTTATTATCATCCGTGATTTCGCTCAACCTTGGTTGGACCATTTGTAGCGGGTGCGCCGCGCAGACACGTGCAGTTCCGGTCGGAGGTGGGGCCGTTGGTGGTGATACTGATGATAGTAGTGTACTGGTGCTTTAAAATTGGTTTCTAGAAGGAATAAGTATCAGAAATGAAATCAGGAGGTCTTAGAGTATCGTGTGAATGACTTTTATTTACCCCTCTGTTTTGCGGACCTAAAGTAAATAAATACCCAAAATTCAGTTAATTAAAGCATTTGACTATAGTAATTGCCTGTCAGCTGATAAAAGGGGATTTATTTTGAATTCCTTTGCACAAACCTGTGAAGAACTTCTTGGCAGGAACACGAGTCCAGTTGACAGCAGCATATCCACCAGGTGGTGGCATATCTTGTTTTACCCCAGCCATGGTGACAAATTATCTTTTTTATCTGATTAATTTCCACCCCTCTCCCCACACACACACACAACGCATTCCAATACAACCTTTTTTTTTCACAAAACATGCGCTGCAATCGTACAATGTGCGCAGCTAACGTCAAACTTTTCACAAAATGCTTTATTACACTATACGTTTTTTTACGGATTGAATTTTCGGAGTCTAGTGTTTAAGTGAAGATTTTGGATGAATTATTCTATTTTTTTGCACGCTTAACAACTTTTTTTGTTGAAAAGCTGTAATCACAACGCGGAAAAATATATTGTTCTTGATTGAAGAGTCACGACTAGTAATTTATACTGGTCTTGAATCGCGTACACAAAACATTATAGTTTTAATGTTTTAATTGGATTTTATCGAATAATTGAAATATTTTGATAACTACTGGGGAAACGCAATAGAATAAATTGATGAAAATGTATTCAAGGGTCAGCGATCGGATGAGCGTATGATCATCGAGCGGATTGATCATTGAACGCAGGGGCGTCGCCGTCGCCACAGATTTTCGTCAGGGGGACGGATCGGCCGACTAAAAACCTAAAATTAGGTATCATGTACCGTATTTTTCAGGCCGATGCATTGTCTGTTCAACGATACTGGGCCGAGTTCCTACACGGTACACGTCTGAAGTCAGATTCATCATTTGACACGGTTAACCAGAGGCAGAGCCTCTGTTCTTCTATCAGGGTATAATTGTTGACGTATGCCGTCAATCTGATAGTTATTAGTTAATGTATTATGTATATGTTACAGGCCATGTAGGTGTCGATTTTTTTATGTGCCCGGGCACCCCCAATGCTGAGTTGGGCACCCCCCAAGGGGCTCTGGGCACCCACAACCAAAGTTGGTACTGGCATCACTGTTACGATTCTTTGAACGCATTGTTTTCTCTAATTCATAGGCGCGGGAACGGGGGGCAGTGGAGACAGTTTACCCCCCCCCCAACTCTAGGGCCGCCCCCACAGATTTAACCCGCGCGGGGCTGGGGGGGTAAATTTTACCCCCCCTCGCGAATTTTTGCGATATCTCAAAAACGGCGGCGCGCAGCGCCGCCAAACTTGCAGTACCTTTTCTTACATCAATTTGACACGTTCCCTGAAAATTTGAGCGAAATCCGTCGGAAAATTTTTGAGAAATTGACGTTTTAGTGACGTCATGTTCGCCATTTTCGCATCAAAAACGGCAAAAGTTCAAACGCCGCTAACATCTTCATTTTTAAAGGAATCAAGACGTAACAAAAAAGGTTATACGTAATTTTACTTTGTCTATCAAATGGCTATCTCGGTTTTTTGAAAATTTCGGATTTTGGCCTACATTTTTTCAAAAAACTGACTTTTTTGGGAAAATCATTATAAAATCCAAAATTTTGAGTCTATCGAAAAAACCGGAATATTTGTCAGAGAAGTGGTCTATGTGCACCTACATACCAAATTTTAGAAGAATCGGTTCAAAAATGTGGGAGTTATTCAAAATTTTATGACGTCACGACACACAATTTTTTTGAAAAATGACTTTTTTGGAAGTTCTAGACCTCGTACGGAAACAAAAATAGCACCATTCGATTCGCCGTGAAAAACTGCATCAGATAGACACCTTTTTAGGCCTTAACAACCAACTTCAAAATTTGACCTCACTTGACCTGACCTTGACCTGACCTCGACCTGAAATTCATCCAGAGGTGGTCCATATCACTTATTGAGTGTGCCTATTGAATTCTATGAGTAAAATGACCCATAAAACATGTGTCGCACATGCCCTTTTCTATATTTTGTTTTTTGGTGACCTGACCTGACCTGACCTGACCTTGACCTTGACCTCTGAATGATATTGTATGCAACGAATATTGTCTTGGTAGCCTAAGAACACGTTTTGGGCGATCAGTCTCAGTCCATGACTCCATTCTTCGGCAACTACGGTGCAAGGCCGATACTGTAGAAACTTGCAATTTGTACCCTTGACCTGACCTTGACGTTGACCTCAAACTTTAAATTAAGTACATGTTTTTAGTAGTTCGTGATGAGAGCTTTCGATTGGCGTTTGAATTTTCCAAATCGGACCATTAGTTCGGGAGATAACAGGGGGGGGGGTAAAATTTACCCCCCCCCCCCCCAGCCCCGCGCGTTCGGCTGGAGACCCCAGCCCCGCGCGGGTTAAGACGGAATATCGCACTTTTTGCAAATGTTTTCTTTTTTGATGAAAATGCCAAGGGATGAAAAATAAGTGGGCTAAAACCGGCAAGAAAACTAGATTTGGGGGTACCCTGGGTTGATTTCAATTGTGGTGTGCCCCCCCTTCCCCCAGTGTGAAAGTAGTTCCCGCGCCCCTGCACTCTTATTACCGTACATCAGAATGCGTTGTAAAAAATGGACACAGTTTTTCGCTTTATTTATACTAGACAGCAGCGCTGCAGTATTTGGTAGCCATCGACGCATTCGTGCCGCGTCAATGGGTTTTCGGTTCCGGACGTCCTGAAGTTTTGCTTTGAGTGGCGAGATAGTCTTTTGGTCCGAAATATCATGGTTTAACCCGCGCACCAACGGGGATCCGCATTCCGCGCCAACTTCACAGCGACGGGGGGGGGGCGGATACCTGCTCCCCGTAATATCTCGAGAACAAAGCAAAGAATTTAATTTCAAAGTAATATATCCAAACAACAAAACAGAAAAATTTTAGATAGAATTTTTTTCAAAATGTTTATCTGAAAATTTTCTGTTTTAATATAACGTTTTTTTTTTGTATAAGATAGTGTCCCAAATATCCATTGTAAAAATGAAGTACCTTTCGGAAGAAGGAACTAAAAGGAAACTGCTCATACGTCATATATTTCGACATCATGCATTCCTATGTTTTGAGAAGCGAACGGGGCACATTTACCTATTTCATTTATCTTCAAGCCAAGTTTCAAGAACCAAACTACTGGTCCATTATTTCGAGATAGAAATTATCATCCGATCATTTTAATCTGAATTCAATCATAAATTATCGCACAGACACGCCAATATGATAATGACTCTTGAACTAAGGCAAACATCATAGACGTGCATTCCACATGTACAATCGATCACATTCAAACGCATGAAACCACATCATTTACAAACATTAAACATCTTAGCATAGCAGCACCACATTCGTTCGATTCAAAGACTTCTTATCACATAATCTCAACATTTAAATAAGCTCTCCTCTTCCCGTTTCGGCGACGTTCATTTGCGTGCCTGTTCATTTGTCTTAGGACTTTCCGCACCGCACAGTGTCGGCGACTCTGCCCGGTTTTCCAAGGCGCCAGGCTCAGTGCACGCTGCTGGCCGATGTGCCACCCAGTGCACGCTGCTGGCCGATGTGCCACTCAGTGCACGCTGTTGGCGCGGGCGGACACACTGAAGGGCGGTAGCCGGGAGAGCAGGCAGTCCCCTCCGGACACGCACGCCACCACCGGCACCTGCAGTACGTCCAGGCCGCCCTCCAACACGACGTCCAGTCGGAAGTACACAGAACGGCCCGTCATCGTGTCGCCAGGCTGCCGGGTAGCCAGAGAACAGGTGGCGAGGGAGGCAACGTCAATTTAGGGAGCTTGATGATGAACGTTCAGTAGTTTGTGAATCGTAACAACATTTAATAACTGGTTTTCTACCGTCGCGAGCCAGGTAACCATTCGTTCAGCCATGTTGTGCAATCGGCAACTGTTGGGACCAGTGCAGCATACGACTCCTCGGTGACCCCACCGACTCCACGATATGGACACACGATATGGATATAGACACCCTCACCTGGAACGTGACCAGCAGTGGCAGCTCGCCGCCGGCCTCCAGGACGCCGGAGCGCGGCTCCACGTGCAGACTGAGCAGCGGCGCCGGCGGCCGCAGCCGGAACTCGACGGTGACGGCGCCGCCGTTGTGCAGACAGAGCCGGCCGGCGGCCGACTCGCCGCGCCGCACGGCGCCCAGGTCCAGCACGGCCGGCCGACAGGTCACGGCGCCCGAGGGCAGAGGTCGCGGCACGCCGCCCAGCACCACCTGGCGCTGGCTGACCCCGCGACGCAGGCGCGGCGCCAGCGGCGGCCGTGACGTCTGGCGTAGCTTTCCCAAGAACTCGCCGCCAGCCTCCGACTGGAAGTACGCCGGAAACTTCTGCCGAAGATGACAGCGAAGCTCATTGTCACTTGTCATGCTCCTTATTGGTTGTTGTTGCAACAGAAAAGCAAGCAAGAGAAAGAACAATGCCCAACAATACGCGAATAACATCCTGAACGGAGCATCCGATCCTTTGCTTTACCTGTGTGCGAAGCATCTCCCTGTATGTGTTGATTTCGGCCGCTTCGCTGCGGAAGTTTTCCCAGAACTCGGGTGACTGTTTCGGCGGCTTCGGTGTAGTCGACGTTGCCAGCTTGTGGTTCGCTCTCGCCGCCTCCAGCCTGAAACGATACGCTCATCGTTATTCGACTCGACGCCCGAAGTGACATCTCACCGACACGCCCAAAGGCAACCGATGGGTTGCGACTGACAAGAGCAGCGGAAGTAAGTTTCAGAAAGTCGCACTCTGGCTGCCGCTCACCATTCGATCAGTTTGTTGGCCTCGAACAGGTGTATGGACCGTTTGGGTGGCGGCCGCTGGTGGCCGATGACCACCGGCCTCTCCGTTGGTTCTCCGCGCTCTCCCCGCAGTCTCGTCTGGTGCACCGCCTGAACCACCGTCCGGTACATCTCCGGCTGCACCTGCGCACAGAGAGTTCTCAGCTTAGTGTTCCCAATGACGTCTTTGCGTAAGGCACCTCCAGTACTGCTTGTCGCTTGATACTTCTTGCGTGCCAGGGAATACAGACACGAGCTTGGCACTAAACCCTTCCCGCACGTGGCTGAACATAGAGGGCATGGTCACTGGCCACCACTAGCGCAGCGTCGACTTACCAGGTTTTCCCTCATCGTCCGACTTACCCTGGGCATCTGCAGCAGCTCTCGCGACTCGATGAGCTCCACCTTGTGCGGGCGGCCCGTCACGGGATTGGTACCCATCTTTCCGTCGCCACCGCCCCACCAGGTTCGGGAGCCGACCATCGCCTCCTTGTCCTTGCACATCAGAGTCAGGTCCCGATTTCGGAGATCTGAAACGTGCTCACATCATTCGTCTCAAGTAACTAATGCGACACCTTGTTATTCGTGGCATTGGTCGAAAACGTGAGGTCCGACTTTATGAAGAACGTGTCTATTGCATTGATACCCACATCACACAAGGAAGGCTGATGTCTCATCACCAAGCGCATCAACTTACTGACGGGAATCAGCGTCCTCTCCACATACGGCACCTTCCAGCGGTGCTGCGGCATTTCCGTGGCGGGCACCGGTCGGAAAACGCGCACCGTGCGCACCTCTGGGTCGGTGGCGTGCGCGTCCGTCCACACCTGGCCGCCTTCGGACGACTTCACGAAGCTGAGGTATCGCGAGACCTCGCCCGATGTCACTAGCTCCAGACCGTCGCCGTCGCGGTACAGCACAAAGAGGCGTGGTGGTTTGGGAAGCACAGTGTTGCACTCCAGCTGTGCTCGCATTTCCAACGTCAATCCGTTGGCTGGGCAGGTGTCCCGATTGTCCACCTGAAAAAAGATTTCCTTTACATATGAACACAGCCCATAGAATATTATCCCCATGACATGCAATGTTCAACCATGAGGCAGTCTACACTTAGTCCGTTTTCGCTTCATAGTTATTAATATCGTTAGGACTTCTCAACCTCAGATACCCACCTTCACGAGACGACCTCTTCTGGTGGCCCTGAACACCCTCCGTCGGCTATCCACAGTTTCGCAGACGGTGTCGCTGATCCTAGGCTTTTCTGGCTCCTTCTCTGCATCTGGAGAAGTGTCCGCCTCTGTCTCCGGCCCCGCTTGAGCCGGTGCAGATGGCTCCGCCTTGTTTTTCGTCTTCGAATGCTTGTGTTTGTCCGCCACCTTTGAGCTGGAGGTCCCTGGCGCGGCGTTGGCGGACGCTTCCTCCGCTGACGGCGGCGCCGGCGGAGGTGGGGGAGCGGGCGGCCGGCTCAGGGGGATCGTGTGGACGGTCGGGTGCGCTCCGGGCGCGTTGGGTGGAGCGGAGAACACCACCGCTTCAGGGTCCACCTGGAGACGAGTGTCGTCCGTCTGCCGTATGGTGTACGAGCCGCAGCTGCGAGCCTCGATCACCGCTCCCTATCGGCCAGACGTCAATGGCGCGTTACCCAATCATCAGTCGTACAAACCTCGAACGCTTCGCTGCGCCATTAGTCACCGATGATCCGCTACTTATCTGAACAGATACATTTTTAGCAATACGTACTTTTGCAAAACCCGATCCACCTTCACTAATTTATGTCTGTTTACTTCGGCATTTAAGTCTGAAATATTCCTAAGTGAAACAACCTGCTTTACGTTTTAACATTTTTCCTAAGCTACTACTAACTCTCATGTGCGTTGACATTACTTACCTGGGGCAGGTAGACCTCACAGACGCCGGCCAGCTGGCGCATCACCACGCGGCAGTAGTCGGGGTGCTCGGTCTGCACGTTCCAGTCGTTGGTGGCCGCGTCGCTGATCAGCACGCGCATGCCGAGCACCCAGCTGGCGCGGTCCGACACGATCCAGCCGGCGTCGTTGACGATGTAGTCGCTGCAGACGGGCACCTGGTCCGAGTGGGCCACCGGCTCCGGCTCCGGCACGCTGAGCGTGAGCCGCGTGCCGTCGGCGTGCTGGATGGCGGAGGTGCCGCCAGGCCGGAGGACGGCACTTACGCCGTCCTGGCGCACCACGTACATCTGCGACAAGAGGGGAACGACGCCCAGCTGGTCAGCCAGCAAGACCACGTGAAGATTACACATTGCGAAAGTTGCCAACACGTCATGACAAAGCGTTCGGTACACCGAAACGGAATCGCACGTTTACAAACGTCGTCAAATAGCCAACCATCACTTTCCACCAAGTCCCAAGAGGTATGTAGGTACTGATATGACTAACCTCTCTGGTGACAGGATCTGTGGCGAGTTTGGTGAGATATCGTCTCGGTGCCTCAGTTGACTCGGAGCTGGTTGAAGTTGAGGTCAGCTCCTGTCTGTCGCCGTTAGCCTTCACCAGTGACACGGGAACCAAACGGTATGTGGCAGCGGTGCCGGCGCCAGTAGAGCTCGCAGAGTCTGACGACGACGAACTGCCGGTATGGAAAACAGGCATTTTATGAACGAATGCTATTGCCACAGATATCAGTAGTACCACAGATATCAGTAGGTAGTACTACTGTTATCTGTGCTATTGCTCATAATCTTCCAATCCCATTTACTTGAGCAATAGCGAAAGAACTTCGTGATACATCGTTGACGGAACTTACGGGCGGTCAGATTTTCCACCGATGGTTGGCGGCCGAGGAGATGAAGTCTCCTGAACAAACTGACATCGCGTGATGGAGCCGTCTGGTCCCAGCAGGTCGGCGCCCTCCCGCTCCCCGTCATCCAGGCGGCAGAGCAGACCCTCGCTGACGAAGATGCGCACTCCACGCCGACTTCCGCCGCCGTCCAGGTAGAACTGTCGGACGAGCACGCGGGGCTCGGGGCCGCTGCCGCGCGGGTCCGGCTCCAGCTCCACCACCAGGCCGCTCGGACACGAGACGCGCAGAGTGTGTAGCACCTGCGGCTCCGACACTGCCCGACAGCAGATACAAGGAGGGGCATGAATCGGAGGTAGCGATTAGCATAAAACATCACAAATGAAGCGACGTGGAAGTGTTCATTCCGAGAGGAACTGGGCATACCTTTTGGTGGCTGGGCGTCTGGCTCGGGCTCCTCCACAGCCGGGATCGGTCCGGCGGGGCTCCGCGATGTCGATGCCCGCGACTTTTTATTCTGAAGTTTCTTCTTGCCTATCAAAAAGTGTAAGAAGCCGAATAACAATCAGAATCGTGTTAAATACACAAAGCATTATCAAATAAAGTTTCTGAAAAAGTAATCATTAATGATAAAAGGAAATAAAATCAAACTGATGGTCACTTTTATGGCACATCATTACGCAAGTCGCCGCAAGCCGTCGGTAGACCTTCCCGGCAATCACTATAGGTAAATAGATGATTATGTCACAAGCGCACAACCCCTTTAGGTACTATTTGCCGCTAGCAGCAGCTGTAATACACGCCAGAAAGATTTAAATGAATCCCCCTTAAATGTGCTTTTTAGACAGTACGCTTCGCCGTCCCATTCGTGATAGTTGGCTCGAAGACCGACCTTCCTTTTCCTTTTTGTTATCCTTCTTGTCCTTTCCGGCGGGGGAGGGCGATTTGCGCGAGCGCACGGTTGGCGAGCCGCGTCGCGTGGGTGCCAGAGGGGTGAGGCTCGGTGTCGGGGGGCGGCTGGCGACCTTCGTTGGCGGTGGCTCCGGCATCAGAAGGCGGGTCAACAGGTGCATCACACACCCTCCCAGCAGGTGGATCACCACGTCCTCTCCCTGGCACGACAAACGAGATCTGAATGGCATTTTAGCTCGAGCTTGCCCCTTGCCCTTGTCGCTGGACATCTACAATGGCTGGCAACATATAAGGTAGGAACTAGGATTCATAAAGTGCAGGTCTCCTCCAACGATGTAAAAGGAAATGGTAACTAAACTTCTGATGATGCAAGAGCTGATAATCTGACCTGTGGCCTAGGATGCACGTGAAGAGCCGTTCCCCCGTGGTTGACCGAAACGGAAAGGAACCGGGAGCCTCTCAGATGTTCGCTGGTCTCCACGGTCAGGTAGGAACCGTTATCGAAATACTGACGGTACTGTCTTCCTGAGACGTGCGCAAGTTTTCCTCCAAGGTCAAAACCACGGAACTGTGAAAATGATGCGAATTATTTTTTTTTATAATTCATTACCTATCATAAATCGCTTTGATCAAAACTCAAGCAACTGATCACATAAGCCACAAGATATCAATAATCAACCCCAACCAGCTTATGGTGAGATGATAACCTACCAAAATGCGCTTCAGTTTTCATTTACTCGTCAATTATATACCAATAGTCGAATAAAAATAAACAAGTTATGCAAAAAAATGATCGATTGTGGCCTACCCGCTGATCTGGTGGCAGAGGATCCAAGAGACGGGCACGCGAACTGGCGAGCTGCTTCTCCCGCTTTTCTTTCGATATCAATTGAATCTTTGTGACCTCAGGAACATGAGATTGTTTTCTTCCCTTGTTCTCCGCTGGCTTCTTTTTCGCGTCATCGGTCTTCTTTTTGGGTTGTTGATTTTCCTGCAAGTAATTATAGGTGATGTTTTCGAGAAAATATTTTCCCGCACAAATGGGGGATAATCTGGTTCCAATTAATAGATAGGTAAGGAAATATAAGTGTAGGTATAATAGGTGATGGGTCGACGGCTGAACTTTTTGCGGCGCGTCATATCTATGAATAAATCGTCCTACACCAACTAATACGGATTAGCGCTTCCAGACAAAATAGTGGCATACGACACTGCTGAAATAAACAAAAGTTGTTGTGTCTTGTATAAGGACAACTTTACCATTGTGGTAAAGTTTTGGTAAAGTTTACCATTCGTTATATTTTCTGCATTACAAGTAAGTTTTGGCCCGAATGAAATAAGATGCGGAGAGTGAAGTCTTTTTAAAACGTACCTGTGTCTTCTCTGTCTTTGTCTCACTTGTCTCGTCTACTTCCTCCGCTTTGCTAAGAGCTGCTTGCTTTTGTCCTTTCAAAGACTGGGCGATTATAAATTCTTCCGCTGGAACCTCTTGCTGCAGGAAAGATGAAGTCATTTGAATTTAAAGGCGTCCTTTACATCAAATGGGTCATCATGCATTTTCAGTCGTTTAAATGCGTTTTCGGTAAGACGCTGGCATAAAAGTGCCAATATTTACTATGTCAATATAACCATCCCGATATTTTCAATACAACCTACCTTCATTTTCGGGGGCTTTGGTATAGGTCTGAGGCGCTCGAGCTCGCGGCGTCGCTCGGCCTCTTCTCTGTCGCGTTTTTCGGCCTTCTTCATCCTGTCCGTCTCCTGCTGGAACCACTGTGCCACCACCGGCATGTGGCAGCTATGCGCTGTTATATAGACACACCTGTCAGTCTTCAGCCGAACAACCTGTTCACTCTACTAACCTGCATTTAGGAATACTGTTTCAACAGCTTCCTATATGTTCCATCTTCGTGTAATTCCACCCCGCCGATCCGAGATGTCGACACTCCGCTATGTATTGATGAAAATGCATCGACAAAGCTCACCGATGAAGTCGCGCAGTCCGACGACTGTGTGCTGCCGGAAGCACCAGCGTCGTTCCACGAAGCCGTCGTAGGCGCGCGGATGGCCGTACACCAGGTATAGGCCGTCGTCGCCCTCGAAATGGCTGGCAGCCAGCAGGTCACATCCGCACTCCGCCTCGTACAAGGTCTGATGTCGAAAGGGAGAATTGCATTGCATTACATTACACTACAGTAGGTGCAGTACATTTTAAAATTCACTGTTTCGAGAACATTTGGTTTAGGGCCTTAGTGCATCGCCCACCATTTCAACCGGTCCAGCATTCCCACCCATAGCTCGCCGCCGCTGCAGCAGTGCACACCTGAGCCATGGAGAAGGGGTCGAGCAGCTCCACCCAGCAGTGGTCGGTGAAGCGCGCCCGCACGCCCGTCGTCTCCTGGTCGGTGGTGAGCTGCCGCAGCTCGTCACAGGCCGCGCCGTGGCCACACTCGGGCTGCAGCAACTCCAGCTCGGCGGACACGTGCGCCGCCGGCAGACTCGGGTGGTGGTAACGGCGCAGCAGCGGCGAAGCCGTCTCAGAGCGGAGACTCGGGTACAGTGCCTCGAACATCAGCAGGCGCAACAGATAGTCCATGTCTGCAAGAAGTTCGCTATAAGCAATGTGCTATGCAAACATAAAGCAGCATACTTACGAATGTAACATTTTTCATTAACTCTCATTCATTCATTCATTCAAATATCCAGTCAGTCTATTCGTTCATTCATTCATTCATTCATTCATTAATTCATTCATTCATTCATTCATTCATGTAACTAGTTATTTCATCCATTCATTGATTGATTGATTGATTCATTTACTCTTTTATATCAGAAACTTTATTGCTATAAATTCATTTGCTTTTCGGGGAGTGCCCCACGACTGACTTTCGTGCGAGGTGACCACGGATGTCAGCTTGGCGAGCAGCTCTTGTTTGGCGGCGTGGTGTTTGAGGAAGCTGCCGTCGGGAGGCACGTCGGAAGCCTGCAGCTGCAGCAGCTGGAAGTTGTGACGCAATACGTGGTCCAGCTGGTGGATCACCGTGCGGTCTGTGGTATAGGGAGCGCGGCGGGAGGAATCACATCGACGAAGGAACGGAATGGGTGCGCTGGGCAAGGAAATGTGTACTGGATGCCAAAGAAATTGCATGGGTAGTCGTCACAATCAGATATCATAGTTGCATTGAAGGCAATTACATTGAGCAAAAGCGTTGTTGGCCAGACATGTAGCACTCGCGTTTCGTCGCCACTTGCACTGATCGCGGCTCACCTGTGCGGCTGTAGAACTGGGCGTTCACTCGGTCGCAGTGGTAGACGAGCACCGGCGCCGGCTCAGTGATGGGCTGCGTGACGGCGAACCGGCGCCGCAGCCACGGGCCCGGCACCTCCACGTCGTCGTCCTCCATGGTATCGCTGCTCTCTGCGGGCGCCAGCGGGGCGCCGGGCGCCCCGGCTCCTGCCAGCGGCGGTGCCAGCAGCTGCGGCAGCGGCAGGCTCAGCGCCCGGCTGCTGGTCCGGTGTCCCTGCGCAGACGGACGCCGACCAGCGCCGGCGAGCGCCGCCCACGGACCCAGCGCTGGGAACGCGCTGGCGCGCCGCTGACGGAGCGCCTCGAACTCAGGACTCTTGGTGGAGCCGCGCCGCCCCTGCTGGCCGGGGGCCGGCAGTTTCAGAGAGCCGCGCCGCTCGCGGGACGCCGGCGGCGGTGTATCTGATCGCTCCGGCTCCTGGATGGTGACAGAGGCGCGAGACGACTGCTGCGCAGTGCCGCTGCTGTCCCCTGGTAGCCGTCTCTCTGAATGCTCGAAAATCGGTTCCGGGGTGGGCCGCATGCTCGGCTGAGAAACTGGAGAAGAGCCGAACCCGATCGAACCGGCACCTGTCTCCTCGGTTTCGGGAGAGTCTAGCGGCTCGTAAAAATCACCGTCGATCCACAGTGCAACCTGAAACGGTAAACGGGAAGGTCACAAAATATGTGCATTGCGCAAGCACATACAGACGCTAGCCCTACCACAAAATCCTCTTGCATCTCCTTCTCATTCTATAAGATATAAGATCCATGATCCTTCTTACTCCGATCATCTCATCACCTGGTCGACGAGGGCGTTGACGATCATGGGCACGGAGGCAGCCTCTGGCGGCACTGCCTGCAGCCTCTGCTGGTACAGCAGCGCCGGCGGGGTGGCCGGCGCCGGCCCGGGGGTCCGCTCCGGCACACCGTCCTCCGTGGCCGCCGCCTCGTCCTCGACCTCCTGGGGAGGACACAGTTCCTCCGGCGGGAACACGCTGCTGATGTCCGGCACCTGGTGAACAGAGGGCGGCGAGCAGGTGCCACGTCCGAAGTCAGACTACTGACTAGCTGCGAAATTGACATCTCCGTTGGCAAAACGGTCAGCAAAACTTTTGCAAAACCACAAGCAAAACGTAATCAACGGACTTCGTCTACCTATTTGTGTTTTTGTTGTTATATTATTCACTCACCTTGGTCACCTGCAGATACTTGAGATAACAGTCGAATATTGCTCTCAGTTTCAGATGGTCATAGATTTCTGCTGCTAACATGTCGAACAGAAGTTCCCCAACCTGAAAATAAGCATAAGCGTATCGTCGTATATACAATTACGAAGATTTTCTCGACTAGCAAAATGTCAAAGAAATATAAGCCCTCTTTTTACACTATTTTTGCGTCGATGAGCGCTTTTAAACGACCAGATTATCTGTCCACATCCACAGTTTAATCATTTCATCGGATAAAGCAGGCAGCATTCGGCACTTACCACTCTTTGTTCTGTGCTGCATTTGATGGTTAGCAGGGGCACCACCAAGTCCCTAACTAGGAAGTTTGGTGGAATAATCTCTGCGCTGTTCGACTTCACGTTCGCTTCAAGCTGCTCCCAGAATAAGGGAATTTGTCTGTGGGGGGGGGGGGGGTGAATATTTCCGATATTAGTGGAGCTAAATGCAGATCTTTTTACGGCTTCTTATAATATATATATATAATCTTCCTGAAATCCTTCAATGTGAAAGTTTCTAAAGCTCTCTCTTGAACCATATGCCTTACCTACTCGTAAAAGGAAAACTTTTAATCACGAACGTAACTATACCTAACGATTATCACTGATCAGTGATCACTGATCAGTGATCGACCCACATTGCAACCGATGATCGATACTAGTATCGATTATTTTTTTATTTTTGTGTACTTTGATACATCTTTTACTAACTTAAGAATATTGAGAACAATTATATTAATAGTTTCCATTCGATTATTTAAGATAAAAATATCAGGCCTCACAGAGAAAGGATGAATTCTGCATTTGATTGATCCATCTTCAGCTGTGACTCCGACTGCTGGATGGACTGTGCTGACTGCTTCGATTTGTCCAAACTGGCCGAATTTTCGCCAGCGGGGTCTCCATTTTTGGCCGGGAGTGTCAATGCCGGCATCGACGGTTTCGTAAAGATCCGGAACAGCACTTCTATGGGCACCCCTGTTCAACAAAAGCGGAAGTGAATATAATCACAATTATCATATTTTATAATTATGCCGACATTAATATCATATTTTACATTTTGTGGCAATAAAGTACGGCATTACTCTTGATAGAAAGTTCTAGGTACTCGAAACTTTCGTTTAAAGATTTGCGACCGATTTTGGTGTTGTGGGCCAGTTTGCTTCTCGTTACCTCTTTTCTCCATTTCTAGTGGCAGGTCAGGCAGGAGAAATCCAGTCAGAATGACGTAAATATCGGGTCCGTTGATCGGCTCGTCCTCTGAAAAAAAAACGACGGTACTTATATCGGCAACGATGAAAGAAATGTACGATGCACAATTCACATTGCCAATCCTCACAATCCCTCATAGAAGTTTTTGCCACGATACAAGAAGCATCCATGGCGAATCTATACACGATACTCCTGTTTGACATGTGCCAAGACATGTGCGAAACCGAATCATGATCAATGTATTCGTGCGGATAAATGCGATAAAATGCTCGCGTGACTTCACATAGCTTACCTTTGATGACGATATCATCGAGAATAATCACTGAGTCGTCATTCTCTCCACGCTTCTTGAGCTTCGTCAGACGCTTCTTACAGAAATTGTCATCTTCTTGTCTGTCTTGCATTAGTTCGTCTTCTAGTTTGACCTCCTTCACAGTTTTCCTTCTTCCTCTACCCTCCGATTTTTCTCCTGAGGTTCTCCGTGATTCCTTTCTTTCGTTCTGTTTAGGTTCCTTTCCGGTGTCCGTTTGTTTGGCGTCTACCTTGGGCTCATTGCGCTTCTGGTTGCTGCTTGAATCTTTTGATTCGCCTCCAGAGGAGAAGTTGACATCGCTGAGGTCAAACGTTGATGCCTTTTTCTTGCTAGATGACGTTCCTGGGAGCTCGATCTCGATCACAGTCGTTTTCTAAAATCAATGAAAATATATGTCATTTCATTCAAATTTAGGTGAAAGTGAAATAACATTACCCTTTTTTATAAACGACGAATAACTTACAAATGTTATCCTGGTTTTATTATACCGGAAAATAAAAATTAAATGAAGCTGTATTCACCAATCCGTCATTCGAGTGTTTTATCCATAATTCGAAGGCACTGACGAAATAATCTCGACATACTTATTCATTTTGTAGAAAAGTTTGTTTTGCTATGGGGTGTCCGCTCGGGGTATTTTCAATATAAGTTTGGTCCTGCCTTCCATTATCTATTTCATGTGTCATGCTAGCCAAGCATCAGCATTTACATAGTTCCCTCGATAGATGTGTGTTACCACTCCCGGATCTCCCCGTCCCCTGTGTAACTCGCCTGTTTCCTGAGCGCGGCCAGTTCCATTTTGATGACGGCGGCCAGCAGTGGCGCCGGCACCGTTCCCGTCTCGTTCAGCACGGCGCCGGCCCTGCCGTACAGTTCCTCCACAGGGTCTCCGACCTGGGGGGCGCCCCGCGACCGGGCACCGGACCGAGCGCCCCCCTTCTGGCTCGGGCCGTCCACCTTTTTGGAGAGCAGCATCTGCGACAATCAACGTCAGCTCAGCGCAGCTCCAGAGCCACGCAACCCTATACTGTTTCGAAAGGCAGAGTATTTGTTGCCTGGGACCGTCTCCTGATGTTTAAAAATCACTACTCGCCGGGAGCTCGAGTTGACGAATTGAAGCGCGGCGTTGGTGTCGGCTGGTACTTACCTCGGCGATGTCCTGGTAGTCGATGAGCACAAATGTGCGCCTGCAGCCGGTGAAGACGGCCGTGCACACCCTGTCCAGCAGGTCGTAGTACTGGCTGTCGGCCGCCGCCACCATGAACAGCCGACAGCTCCAGGAGGACTGTGTGCACATCATGGTGAGGGCGATTTTATAACCCCGTACATGCGTGTTTTCATAAAATTCAGCTTGAATTTTTGGACTGTGTGATAAACCCAGAACCCACCCAACGCATGACTCGACGCCCACCGTCCAATCGGACTGTCGAGTGATCGTGATAATTTCAATGCTTGCGTTCATCGTTCAAACCAAAGCCAGACATTGCCCGACCCATTCGCCGAATTCAACTGGCTGCGACTGCCCCCACCAACTACAGAGTTACAGACAATGCCCGTCAGAAGTCTCAAATGTCGAGCGCCGTGTTGGAACATCACTCCGGCGACATTTTGTGCGTATTCGTCGGTGGTAGGTCAAGCATTAATGAGACGTTGAATCACGATTAGCGGGCCGGAGGTGAGACGACGGAGACACGGAGCCAGCTGGGAGGCGGGGAGGGAGCTTGAGTGGGGATCGGGAGGGGGTTCAGATAACAAGGGTCATAGACCGAGGGGAGGACCGCGGCACCGGGCGCGGTCGGGTGGTAGGTAAACACGGGCAGTCTGTGAAAAGTGGAACATTATTCTGCACTCTGCAGTAAACTGTACGGGCCGAGTTTTCGGGCTTTCAAGGCGGACCAACTTACGTCACTGATGACGGTGTCTCTGACGGCAGCCTCCCACGACTGTGTGCCGCCATCAGCTCCGCCGTGGTCGGCACCTGCCTTCCCAGAGCCGGACTTGGACTTGGGCTTCTTATCGCCTGAAAACCAGCAGTGTATGTAAACAACAGTCGTCATGGGTATGGCACGGGGGCTGTTCAACCAGGGAGCAGATCACAATTCACAAGGTGATCAACAAACATGCGGTGACAGGTTGAAATGTTACTTGACACCATTCTCAACTCAATTTGAAACCGTTCATCTCCCGTCTTACGCATATGGCATACCTATTTGCATACGTATTGATTATTGAATCCTGCATGCAAAGGTGTCGCTATCTGCCGGTTTTCAGGCGAGTAATTCTTGAACCCCAACGGGGCATCCGATCCCCGTGAGGTAAATATCGGTAGGCTTGAAAGTGTGTGCACGTTTGCTCATTAGGTTCCTTACCTTTTGGCATCTTGAAACTTAATGGCTTAGCTCCGCATATTGTGCTACACAACCATAGTGCTTTGCAAATAGATTAACTTGCCGATAACACAAGTTGACAACATGTGCGATTCGAAACTGTATGGCATTAGTGTTCAATATGTGATAGCAACTTTTGGCTCTTGGTCTCTTGACATTTTGAAAGCTCAACTTTTGGCTCTTGGTCTCTTGACATTTTGAAAGCTCAAATACGCTGTCTCAAAATATTGAGATGTCTCTACGATGCCTATATATCGTACGGCATAGAAAGTGGCACAAAACTTTCAGGTGACTTAAATGGTACGTGAGAAACGTTTCGTTTAAGCTTACGTTGTCTTTACGCCTAGATATGTTTTGTAAATAGGTCTGTTAAATTCATAGAGCATGGAATCGAAGTTTCTTGGAGTTATCGCGCTTGATCGTGTCAAGGCCATATATAGGATCGTGCGCAACTTATGCCCAACTTATGCCCTTTGCCTTTGTGGGAATCCTTCGCGAACAAATGAAGAAATGAATGTTTTGTATACGGACAAAATGTGACATTACGCCAGAGTCCCCCGATTGCGGCGATATTTCTTGGTAACAGGTAAGCATTCGGGCATGGCAGCGTGTGAAAAAAGATGAAACAGATTAACAGCAGAAAAACTCATTCACTCGCTATAGGCTTCCTCGCTCGTTTTAAAAATTTCATAAGGGAACTCATTAAAATATCTGTGTAAAAACGTTTTTCATGTCACCGGTAGAATATTGCCTACCTACTGGTTTGGACGTTCGTACAAATTACTTCATTCAGCGTAATTTATAAAAAGAAAATATCAAGAAATGTGCTCATTCTCTAATGGAGATAGTTTTATACCTTATTTATAGCTTGTATGTATCTACACATCAGCCACGTCCCACATACCTACCAACTTAGATATGCCTATCTCGAGTCAAATCTCACCGTATTCAGAGATGAAGCGAAGACCAGACTGATCGACTAAACAAACATAATTTGACCTAACTTGCATACCTAGCTAGATTTAAAATAAATTCCCCCTTTTTGCAAAACATGAATATTAACTACCCTTTTCCAGAAACCCATATTTAGATTGAAACTAACGACCCGGATGGGCTAAGCAAGTGTTAACCCGCGACGGGCCGGGGGGGGGGGTGTTTGAACACCCCCCTTCCAGCGGTTTTTCGCTAATATCTCAACAACAACAAAAAACGGTGGCGCGGAGCGCCGCCGTTTTTGGCACACCTGTTTGTGTATCTTTTTCGCACATGTTGTGAAAATTTCAGACACAGGTCGCCTTAGTTCAGGTCACCAGGTCACGCCAAGTGACCTCACCTCAGAAAAAAATAAGAATGCTCGTCATAGCTACACCGACTGATCGATTGCCTTGGACCTTTCAGCCATTAATAAGAGCAACATTATCTATAAAATGTGTATCTCGGAATTTTGATATCGGTGACCTAAGGTCAGGTCAACTTTGCGGCCTCTCCATTATAATTCAATGGGAGAAAATTGAAAAGCCTCTTTTTGCACGAACGCTATTCTAGACACTCTCAAACATCGATATGTAGGTAAAATTGACACAATGAACCGGAAAATGGCAACTGTGACTCCTCGTTATGTCCCCGAGGTCATCTCAGGTCACGAACAGAATCTAACAGTTTGTCGCTAATAACTTCTGATAGAGGTGTGCTAGAGCTTTGAAAACACCTTAGATGTGTTCGGCTCGACGTTGCGGATCGACTAATATGCAACATGACCTTTTCCGGTCAGGTCATGACCTTGACCTGAGGTCAAATTTTCAAGTTGACCTTTCAAGGTCAACTTATAGTTCATTCGACGCGTCTTGACGAGAGGAACACGATGCTGACAAAGGTAATGTCATGGCTCTTTTGAGTCAAAAGTTATTGTCGAAAAAAACGCTTTTCGTAAAAACGGCTATTTTTGGAGTTTTTGCCCTCTGGAGGCTAAACCGTTGACCTGAGGTCAAATCTGAGAACAATGCTCAGAAAGGCCTGTAAAAGGGCTATCGAATGCGATTTTCCGCGGCGCTGTAGCTCTATCGGTTCCCGAGATAGCCGTCGGCAGTTTCCAAAATGTTGAAATAGTCAACATTTTACCTTTGGTGACCTCTGCTGACCTGACCTTTGACCTGCCCCCAAAAAATGACCGAAGTGTTTTCGTCCTTATTTTGGACGTTCTTTCGATTGCCGCTTACCGCGTGTCGCTACGTGGCCCAGGAGCCGAGTTAGAATGGGGTGTTCAGACACCCCCCGGCCCGGCGCGGAATCTCAGAGCACCGGCCCGGCGCGGGTTAATGCAATTTACGCTTTTTAAAGAGAAAATATATCTTTATAGCACGATGTAGGTATTCTTATTTTTTCAGGCTAGTTATTCGACTACAATGAGCAATAATATAGTATCATCCGCCTTTCGCTAATAGTCATCGAATGCAAATACGGTCAGTCTCAAAACATGACCTTATTCACGATACCGCTACGCCTCACTACAGTATGTACACTACATACCATACGTTCAGCAATGCATGTTGATTGTTGGTGCTAGTGTCGGTCAGGACGATATCCTATTGCGATCAGGGCCACCCAATGGCTTTTGGCCAGCCATGTTCGTCGTTCGGCCGTGACGGTGCGACGCACCCGCCCCCCGGCGAGAAATACAAAGAGACTGCAAGTTTACCGTTAGCCATTCAGTACCCACTGAGATGAGCGAGCCAATTGGGTTGTGAGGCCGAGGCTAGCGCCGCCGCGCGGCAGCCGACGCCGAACCCGGAGAGGAACGGCCTCAGTCGGCTCAGTCGGTCGGCGGCGGCGGTGTCGCGTGCACGCAAGTCCTCCCATCGCTGTTTTTCTGGGCGCGAGCGGCCGGTCGGCGCAGAGCTGACCGGAGGCGACCGGCGAGGCGGCCTAACGGTAGTCGATGCGTAGAGTGCGCCGGGAGGCACACGGCCGGGCCGGGCAGTGACCGCTGCGTGCCGGCACCGACCGTCCGCTGGCCTCCGCGGCCCGTGCAGGAGTGAAAAGTAGCACAGCGCTCACCTGACCAGTGACCGGCGTCAAAATACCCAGGAGTGACCGGTGAGTGAATGTAATTTATTTCTAATAATATTTGCACGAACCAGTTAATGTAGGTAAGTACATTGTGAGTGTGCAGAATGGCGGTATTGGCGTCTGGTTATGCATATGGTATAACATATGCATACATACCTGTAACATACATACATGGTAAAACCTCCAGGCCATATTTGTTGCGAGTGCATGGGATCATATCCATGGCGCTAATGAGTGGTCCTGTGTGTAGGTTAGGTTAGACCTGCTCTGCGCTCGTATCCATTGGTAGTTAATTTGTGGTCATGGCCTGAGCTCGGAGCGTGAGTTTCTGACGGTAATGTTAATTATTTGTAAGAATATCTGATCGAGCCGGTTATTGGTTAATGTGCAGAATGGCGGAATCGGGGTCTGGTTATGGATGACCTCAACGTGAAGCTAATAGCCATTTTTATGCTGAACGCCAAATGGGCTATATCTTGATGAAATGACATTTAGCATATACGATATAACACCATACCTACATTTGTCATGCCAATGCCGTCACGCTCATCTATCCGATTTGAACGACAAATCCTCCTGGGGCTAAACACTTAAGCAGCATTGGCGTTTTCCCAGCCGCTAACGTGCAGAGGGGTGGGGTGGGGAAGGGGCCGATCGCACTCCCAGTCGTTCGTCACTGTTCGAGCTATTACATAGTTATGGCCGCGCGCACACACCGTGACCATACGAAAAACAGTCGAGCTGCCCGAAGTATCACACGCTTGCCACATCCGTGTCGAGCGTAGATGTGGCGCAGTGTGAGTCGATTACATGACAAAAAGTCAAAAGACAAAAAGTCAAAAGACAAAAAGTCAAATGCCAAAAAGTCAAAAGACAAAAAGTCAAAAAGATAAAAGTCAAATGGCAAAAAGTCAAATCCGCTAAAAAATTGACCTTTTAGTTTTGACTTTTGACGTTTTGACTTTTATACATTTTGACTTTCTTCCATTTGACTTTTATCCCTTTTGACTTTTTGCATTTGACTTTTTGTCTGTTGACTTTTTGTCTTTTGACTTTTTGTCTTTTGACTTTTTGTCATTTGACTTTTTGTCCGGTTACCGTATGAGTCGTCTGTCGTCCCCACGAAACCGCATGCACCGGCCGCATGAGCAGCGCGGCGACCCGGGCTCGGCCCGCACACCGATAAAATGCCGGCGTGCCGCGGTCACCCCGCCAGTCGACTGCGCATTATGCAGGGGAGACGAGACAGGTGACCGCAAGCTCGTAAGGTGGCTCGAGGCGACACACCGAGAGATATTCCATAAAACAAAACGGTCATTGAGGCATAAGAGACAAAAGCGTTGCTTTCCGAGTTCTAATGTTGAGATCAGCGGCGAGCTTGGGTACCTACACTTCATATCGTTCTATTCATGATTTTTTTTTTCAGGTTTATTAACCCTTGCCCATATTGGCGTTTTCTGCAGTCGCAAACATGTATGTACATATGGGGTTCATTGGTCCGTTGGATTTCCCCAGCCTCTCTGCTCCCGATGGAGCTGAGATTCGCGGAAACTTTTGCCCGTGACAAGAAGAATCCGATAATACCCAATTTTAAGATCCTAGGGCAATGGTTGACCTTCCAGGTCAGGTCAACGACCGAAAAGTTGTAAATATCGGGGCCTGTTATAACTTCTTAAAGTGAGGCGCTACTACAGGGGCGCGGGAACGACTTTCAGACTGGGGGGCACCCCATAATAGAGATCAACCGGGTACCCCAAATCTAGTCTTCTCACCGGTTTTAGGCCACTTATTTTTCACCCCTTGGCTTTTTTCAACACAAAAGAAAACATTTGCAAAAAAGTACGACATTCCGTCTCAAAGTTGTGGGGGCACAGCCCCCACGGCCCCAGAGTTGAGGGGGCAAGCTGCCCCCACTGCCCCCCCCCCCCGGTTCCCGCGCCTATGCGCTACTATGTGTTTTTTCGAGGTCCTGATTCCGAATTTCACTTTCATTTTGATCGGAGAAGATGCATTCATGCATTTGAGAAGGGTCCTGTAATGAGGTCATTGGTAGCTACAATTTTTATATCACGGAAGTTAAATATCGATGACCTAAGGTCAGGTCAATTTCTTGACCTCACCGTTATATGTAAGTCAATCATAGGCGGCGGAACGGGGAGGGCACCGGGGCACCGTGCCCCCCTTTGATTTTTTTTTGCATTTTAACATTAGCCCAATGGGCGTTGCAATGTTGCATGGAAGGAATGGGACCAAAAGTCAGCAGTGCCCCCCCCCCCCCCCCCTTAATTGAGGGTGTTCCGCCGCTATTGAAGTCAATGGGGGGGGGGAAATCAACCCCTACCCCTGTTTTTTTTTTCACTAAAACGCGTCGGAATGGCCCAATATACCATGACTGAATTCATATACGATCAACCTTGACTATCAATAGGTATGCTAAATTGAACGGCGGTTCATGTAAGGTGTAAATAAACGGCCTCAGTACACTTATATATATTTTATTGGACGTTAACCCGGCAGTTGCTGCAGGGTATTTCGCCACCCACCGTTTGCTGGGGGGGGGGGGTTAAACGCCCCCAGCCGATAACTCGAGAACCAATAGGCGCAGCGAAACGCACCAGGCGGCAAACGAAAGAACGCGACGAGACGCTTCAGACGAGTACTTTAAAGTTGAATTTTGAGGTCACAGGTCGGGTCAAGGTCAGGTCAAACACCTGAAATCGGGTTTTCAGTAGCATGGATTTCAGGACTTCGCAATGGGCGCCTCTCGTCATAAACTCTATCAAAACGGTGCACAATCCATCATTGTCATATAAGGCCTTCGAGAGTGTGAGCTCCATGTAGGGGCCATTCAAGCATAGGTCAAGGTCAAGGTCAGATCAACCGGGTAGACACATATCCCCGAAAATCAAAACTGATATTCGCAGCCTGTGACACATGTTTTATGGGTAATTTGGGGCGTAGAACGCGATGGTGACATTCATTTTATCATATGTGATACGTGTTTGGTTCAAAAAGTTCAATTTAAGAAATGCATGTATCATGGTCGTGAAGTAGTCACGAGAAATTGCCAAGATTCAGTTCAAGATTTTGGAAAATGCGGAACGATAATCAACAATCAAAGATAGCCATCATTTGATTGTTCATGGTATTGGCAGTCTAATGGCGTTTACGCCATGTCTGTATGTCTATTCTGTGATTTTATATGATTTTTTGAACATATGCCGTTTTTGGTCGAAAACTCAGAAATCATGACGTCACTAAAAACCTCGATATCTAAAAAAATTTTCGAATGATTTTTTTAAACTTTGTCACAATAAACTTCAATCAATTCCCTACAGGTACGCACTACGCAAGTTTTGACGCGCCCATGCGGCGCGCCGTTTTTATGCTATGGCCCGGGAAAAAAGTGGGGGCGTTTAACGCCCCCCCCCCCAGCAACTCGCGGGTTAAAGAGTGTAAATGAACTTTTGAAACACCCCGTAGATTGTTGTAGTTCGTCATTAACCTGCATCGGCATAAGTGGAGACCCAGGCGACCTTATGTAGTGTGATAACACAACTTTCCTTGCTTCCATTTCAGACATAGTCACTGTCGTGAAAAACCCACACATGCAAGTCAGCTAGGAATCATGCTAAAGAGGCTGCGCGTCTCCAACAGACTCGGTGCTGCGCTGGTGTCGGTGGCCGTGTTCTGCCTGGTGGCGGTGACCCGACCCCGGACGGTGCCGCTGGCCGCCCCCGCCGACACAGACGGCCGGATCGGCGGCCGGCCCATCGCCGAGCTGTGGGTGCCCAGCCGGCCGGCGCACGCCTGGTTCACCAGCGCCCAGTGCCGGCCGCTGCTCACCCGCTTCACGTGCGACCAGTGTCTGCCGCTCGTCTACCTGGCGTCGTTCCCCAGGTCAGGGAACACCTGGCTCCGCTACCTGCTGGAGGCCTCTACGGGACTTGTCACTACAGCTGGACTGCCTGACTTTTGGACGTACCGAAATCAAACCCCAGGCAAAATTGTCTTGGACCTTGAGCAGCTCTGGGATGCGACACGGGCAGACAGAGAGCTGATTTCTTACGGATACCTTGGGGAGAAGATTCCGTGGTCTCAAGGTATCGGTATCGTTTCCAAGACACACTATTATCCTGAGCCATGGAATGTAACGGAGGCTGAAGATGCTCCGCACGGGCTGTCGCCTTTTCCTAGCGACCGCCCACGACGAGCCGTACTGCTCATACGCGATCCATTCAAATCGATAATTTCTCTTCGGAAATATGGCGAAACACGATCAGTTCGTAACGAAAAAGATATGACGTATCTGTATCGTGGAGAAGATTGGTTGAATTATGCTATGCACTTACCGCACGTGTGGTTTAATATGAATGCAGAGTGGCTGCAGGCAACCAACGAGACACATGTGGTGCTGTATGAGCGTCTGCGGCAGGACCCGATGGGGGAGCTGCGCGCGCTGCTGCGCTTCCTGCAGGTGGAGCCCGACCGGCGGCGGCTGGAGTGTCTGCGCGGCGAGCTGGAGGGGATCGCGCACAACCACCGGCACGGCGTGGTGCCCGACGGCGAGACGTACCCGCTGCGGGTGCGGGCCGAGCTCTGGAGCTACATCCACCAGCTGCACTGGCTCCTCAGAGACAGAGGTTACCCGGGACTGCCCCTGCAACACTACTCGTTTGCAGACGAGTTCGGTGATATTAATATACGGATGCGTTGAACATGACAATGGTTTCAAAATGTGTTAATTGTGCACAACACTGGTTTTTCTGCCGATCGTTTTCATGTCTCGCAGCCTCTTCATTGTTTCAGGTTATTTTTAACGTTTTTAAACGTGCGACGTACAACGTGCAACGTCACTTACTCACTTGTATATCACCATTCGTATAGCTTCCTGACATGTGCATGGATCCAAGTGTGGATCTGTGACCTCAGTGGATCTCGAAGCTACCAGTAACTCCATGTTAGGATCTGTGATCCCACTGGATATAGGGTCTAGATCTAAGATTTCATATGATATGACGATAAATCAAGGACATAGATCTATGATCCGTGTGGATCCCATCATGTACAACCTTTGAAACTATGTTTTCCAATCCTACACAAAGCTACCAAAGTCAAGCATAACTTTTTGTGAGTTGCAACAAGCGGATGTCTAGGATTTCTGTGTTGACAAAAAGAAGTGATGATATGTGATGTCACTCAAAGTCTCATAGACCTCTGTATACCGAGGTCTATGTCAGATACAGAGGTTTATGTCGCACTGCTTCTTAAGTAAAAAATAGACTATGATATGTATATGATCCCAATGATTCTCTAAATAAACTAAAGAGTGGGATCTAGTTATAATCCCATCAGATTCGAGATCAGGATCCATGGGATGAGGTCCCAGATCCATTTTCTAGGATCCATGCATATGTCCGATAGCTTCATCGCAGGGTGGGACTCGTTTGGCACGGGTAAGGTCACCCGCCTAGCCTGGTTAAAACTGCATACTCTGCTATGACATAACCTTTGGCCCAAAGGGTAGTGTGTCGGAGGCAGGGAATACGTATTTCTGTGGCGAGCTCTCGAGCTTTCTTTCTCGAGCGAGCTTTCTGCAGGCCAACGTCCAGGCTGGACGCTGGCCTGGCGTGCCGGGCAGCTGAATCATGGCGGCAAAAACTACTGTAATATTCACTGCGCTGTGCGCTCCAGCGTAAATATTTAATGCTGATTCGTGCAGCTGCTGGATGTCGGCGTGTGAAAGCCACAACGAATGTTTTGTTGTGAAGTGACTAGTGTGCGACTCAGGAAGCAAGTTTATGGGCAGGTCACGATTATAACGGCGCTAGCTTGTTCCGACTGCCGACTTCCGGACTCGGGTGGTTTGTGAGGGAACATTTGTTTTTAGAATGGTAATTTTGTTAATGACTGCTTTGTTATCCGTTTGTTATTTCTTTGTGAGCTGAGTGTAGGCATATCAGTCAACTAAGAATTGTGAAAAGGGCATTGTGAAGACCATTTTCAGTTTTTTTTTTCTGAAATGGAAGTTACATACCTATACTGTTTAGTGTAAGCATTAGGTACTTACCCTACTGTCTAACCAAACGCATTAACAGTCAAATACATCTCAACGCGCAGACCGGAAGAGGAACAGCCTTCTAATGTGTTTTTTATGATATTGAGAGAGAGAGAGAGAGAGAGAGAGAGAGAGAGAGAGAGAGAGAGAGAGAGAGAGAGAGAGAGAGAGAGAGAGAGAGGAGAGAGGAGAGAGGAGAGAGAGAGAGAGAGAGAGAGAGAGAGAGAGAGAGAGAGAGAGAGAGAGAGAGAGGGAAAGAGGCCTGCATTTAATCAGATGCTTGGGTAAATATGCCCCACACTTTACGGCGCTTCAGAATAAAATCATTGAAACGTCAATTAAACGACGTACCTACACGATACAAATAGTAATCTAACATATACGTTATGTAGGTACCTTTGGCCGTGGAGAAAGGACATGCTGTTCTTCATGAATGGCTTTTAAAGTATGAACCTACCTAATCTAATGTCATACCCAAAAGATATGCTTCGCAGTTCGCTGGGTGGATCCGTAGGTCGTGTCAGCCCCGCGCACCTCTCCCCTCTCCTGCACGCCGCTCTGCACAGGCGCCGTCTGCGGCGCTCTCTCGCTCATGAATTTCTAATGAATCACGATGCAACCAGCTGAGCCGCCGCTCTGGTGGACCGGTTCCGTTAACAACCAGCAGCGGTGGAGTGCCGTGCCGACGACCTGCGGAGTCACTGAGAACGTTCAGCGGCTGCAGCCGGAGCGGGCCGGCCGGCCGGAGGCGCGGAAAACCCGCCGTCATAGCCACCTCGGCGGGCACGGAAGGTCGATTTGGCTCGATCGGCCGTCGAGTCAGTGCAGTGGGAACTGGTGCAGTTCACAAACTTCATCAATTGCAGCAAGACTACTAAGCACCACTTTTGAGTATCCCACACTAGTGGCTATCAGTAAATACCGAGAGGCTTAGACTATGTGAACACTATATTGTCAAGTGGGACAGCCATCCTCTGGTCAAACCGGGACTTGTTGCATAGCCGGGTCGCCGAGGATCCGTGCCCGCCCACTGCAGTCCACACCGCAGCACCAGCCCGGTAAAGTCGTTGGCCCGGTCGGCCACCATCCGCGCTGCGAATTCCGTGCACCGTTGCGTTCGTGACACGGTAACAGAACAGACGGTCCGAGCGGCGGCGGGCGGAGGATGCGGCTGATGACTAGGCAAACAACCCCCGCCGCCGATCTGGCGGTCCCGGCCTGCTTCGTCACATTTCTTTGTGGATAGTGGTGAGTGGTAAGAGTAGATAGGTATATGGCGGACATGGGGTGTCTTCTTCACCCACATCACACGTGGCCGGTCGCGCGTTGGTCCCGTTTGCCACCAGTTACACTTTACAGACTGCTGGCAGTTGAGCGCCTTGCCATGCTGATCAATGTCGGATGCATATAACTGCCTATACCTTCATATCTAGTACCTAACGTAAGTCTTAGATGCATTCGAATGAAACCAATACCTACAGCTTCGCCTTATTTTCGCCTTTGGTGCATCAAGTCATCTGCAGTTTTTACCTTCATAAAGGTGTTGGACAAACGCTCCTGTTCCAATGATTAAGTGCTTTGCGTATAAGTTGTCTTTTGCAATCATATTGCAACTTTTCAGGCGTCGCATTTTTTGCCATTTTTATTATGGGAAAACCCATAGACTTATAAGCGACCCTTCCCGGTCGCTAATCGGGACGAGTTCCCTATTAGCGCTTTTTGCATGGTTTGCCAAAATGCTCAGTGCAAATAAATTAGTGGATATTGGGACAGAAAAGGAATGGATTTTAATAGCACAATGAACGATCTCTCCGAAAATCAAGCTAGTACCATTACCCCCCCCCCCTGTCCCCTCAGGCAGTCACGTTATGAAAAGTCAGGCGCGGGTTTAATATGTGGTGCAGCGATTTTGAAAAGAAAGCGGAGAGCAGTATTAATCTTTTCTTTTTTTAGATTTCACGTCTGTCGATCGTCCCCCCCCCCCCAGTCAAAAATCCGTGGCGACGACCCTGCCTGCAACCGCAACGAATAACTTACCTAGTTATCAATCAAACCAAATACCATCGACCTCCTAACCTTTCGATAATGCCACCAGGCGCCAACAGCTAACAGCTCTGTTCGCAATTCATTGCTTTGTTAAGTGCATCTGTACCGGCCGAGCAACGAGTTGCCACGCGGCGCGCAACCGGCGCCAAGTGCAGCTGCACCTAGCGAACGAAGAGCTAGCTAGCACACGGCGCGCCGATTTGGCGCGCTATTGGTTCCCGCGCTTTCCAGCTATTTGGCGGGAGACAGAGTGGCGGCGGGAGCACAGAGCAGCCACCTGCAGTCGGTTCCGGTTGTTAACCCGCGCCCTGCTGGGGGGGGGAGGGGGGGCGGTGTTTGAACACCCCCTTGTGGTTTTTCGCGAATAGCCGTTTTTGTTACACCTTATCATACATCAATTCTACACATGTTGTGAAAATTTCAGACCAAGGTCATTCAAGGTCAGGTCACCAGGTCACTTGAAGTGACCTCACCTCATAAAAAGTTTCAATGTCTGTCATAGCTACACCGAGTGACCGATCGCTTTGAAACTTTCAGCGATAGCTAAGAGCAACAGCATGTACAAAATGTATATCTCAGGATTTTGATATCGATGACCTAAGGTCAGGTCAATTTTGCGACATCCCCATTATAAGTCAATGGGAGAAAATTGAAATGCGCCTCTTTTGGACGAAAGACATTATAAACACTCCCAAACACCGAATTACAAGTGGTTTAGACACACTGAACATGAAAATGGTGTCCGTGACCCTTGTTTATGCCCTGAGGTCATCTTAGGTCACGAATGGTATCTAACAGTTTTTCGCAAATAACTTTTGATAGAGGCATGCTAGAGCGATGAAAACGCCTTAGATGTGTTCAGCTCGACGATACGGATCGACTGATATGCAACATGACCCTTTCCGGTCAGGTTATGACCTTGACCTGAGGTCAAATTTTCAAGTTGACCTTTAAAGGTCAAGTTATAGTTCATTCGATGCGTCTTGACGAGAGGAACACGATGCCGGTAAAAGTAAGCTCGTACAAGGCTTGGGTCAAAAGTTATTGCCGAAAAACTGTTTCCGAAAAAATCGGCTATTTTTGCAGTTTTTGCCCCGTGCAGGCAAAACCGTTGACGTTAGGTCAAATCTGAGAGAATTACTCAGAAAGAGTGTTAATAGGGCTATCGAATGCGGTTTTCCGCGGCGCTGTAGCTTTCCCGAGTTATGCGTTGGCTGCTTGGAAATTTTCGATATTCGACCTGGAAATCGGCGAAATTTTGCCCTCAATGACCTCTGGTGACCTGACCTTTGACCTGACTTAAAAATTGACTGAAGTGATTTCGTCATTATTTTTGACGCTCTTTCGAACGCCGCCTTCCGCGTATCGCTACGTGGCCCAGGAGCCGAGTTACAAGGGGGGTGTTCAAACACCCCCCCAACAGGGCGTGGAAATCCAGGACCCCCAGCCGGGCACGGGTTAATAAATATCATAGGGATCCACTGTAGAATACCTAGTGGCGTCATATTACCTAGTGACGTCATATCGTGAAGATGTGCCGCTGAACACGACGCATTCGCCACCTATCAAGCAAGCCTAAAACTAATAGTTTTTATAATACATATGCTAGGTGGCGCTACTGAGTCTCTTGAGTGGCTCCATCTTGTCTGTATTGTTTTGGATGATACGATTCTGGATGTTGCATGCCTGGATATGTTTCGCTCTTGGATAAACCGTCCTTGGATGATACGATTTTCAGGTATTCTCGTGCTGCCATTTTGGATGATACGGTTTTGGCTTCTGCATCCTTGGATGTTTCGCTCTTGGATGCTCTGAATGCTCCCAAAAGGGCCGATTTTGGATGTAATTTGGAGGTTTTGATCGCTGGATGCTGCGATTTTGGATGTTGCGTATTTTGGATGCTGCGTTCTTAGATGCTTTAATAGTCCCCCGAATATGAATCTGAATGACGTTGAAACTTGAAGGCCTCTGGCCAGTGTTGCCGTCCTGGTACTATAGTACCAGATCTGGTACGTTTTCGACCGTTCTGGTACGGAGGTACGCCTAAACGAAATCTGGTACTTTTTCGCCGAAATGCATTTTTTTTTGGCATTTTAATATCTCTTTCCATCTAAAAAAACACTTAGGAGGGATGGTGTTTCTAACTTTCTCATCATAATGTCTCATGCATCGGATTCGGAATTATTGATACATATTCCTGTTGTGTGCGCTATAGTAAACAAGTGGAAAATTCGCGTTCCACGCCGGCTGCCAAGGACGGTCCGCCGGCTACAGGCTGACCGCTGAGGCAGTTGTTGTGTCCATGAAGGCAATATAAGAGGTTGTGTCGTGAGTTGGGAATTGACCGGGCCCAAATGCAACGATTTGTGGTACGGCTCGTAAGCTGAGATACCAATAACCAATAGTTGGGAATTGTAGTTGTATTGTGAACAGTGAAATGTGAGGTCCGTCGACGGTCGAAGGGCTAAGGAAAGAGACTAGTTTGAATCACTGTCCCAAAATTGTGCGATTTCGTTGGAAAACTAAATCAAAATGACACCCAGCAAATAATTTTCCATTCTCACTGGCATATTACTGTGGCAATTTTCGGATTCTGGGTGCAAGCTAGGATCCTGGGTGCAATCGCCAGTCTCAACTGGAGTGCCCCCTCTCGAAGGCAGGATTTCGATTTCTCTATTTTTAGGCCAATTTTAAGTACCTAGGTATAGGACAATTTGGGAGCTTTCAGAAGAGCGCCTTTCTGCCTTTCAAGGGGCGACGCGGCGAGACGAATGGGTCGAACTACTGGGTCAAATGAGTCATAAATTACTTGCTGGCATGAACATACCGAAATTTTGGCTATTTTTAAAGTACTGAATTAATAACAATTTGACCTACTACGATCTGGTACGGTACGCAGCCAGAAACAGCCAATCTGGTACGATTTGGATGCGATCCTGGTACGCTGTAAAATCTGGCCGCGGCAACACTGCCTCTGGCGGTATATAGGGCCTTGCCTCTGGCCTTCTGAGCCGGGGCCTTCGATATTCGGAAACAATTCATGGACATTCAGATTCGGAGCGAATCTGAATGTCGATCAGGTGATCGATGTTCAGATGAATCTCAATGCGGACGCGAGTGTATACGATGAAATTATACGCACATTCGAGAGATCGCTGTACTATCGTGCTAATATGCTTTGCGCGTTGGTATGCCATGCTAAAAGAGAAATTCTGATAAAGCTGTTTAAGTCCTACTGCGCGAACCTGTATGGGTGTGAGCTGTGGGATCCATGTAAAGAAAAAAATGTGTTTCGTGAACTGTGTGTGGCGTATCACTCATGTGTGAAGAAAATAGTCAAACTACCGAAATCATTCAGGAACCACCCTCTCTGTCTAGCTCTTCAAATTCTCCCCTGTCCTATGCTAGTAGCAAGCAGACAGCTTCTGTTCTATAAAATACTCCACAGTAGTGAAAATGTGTTGATAAAGAGCTTGCTTGACAGTGACATTGGACAAAATGGTAGGTATAGCAGCGAGGGTGCATCTTGCCATCCGACGTGAATATGATATCATGGCCTTAGACTTGTCTTCCTCCTCTCGTGCAGACATTTTGAATATTTTCTTAGGTAGGCTGAAAAGAATGGTCAATCAAAATCCGACATATCATGCTCATGTGAGAAGTGTCATTACAGACAATGTATGAAGCTGTGTGCACGTCGGACACCGGCCACCAGGGGGCGTTAGCTGGAGATAGACAGACTGTGACCTGCTTCTCACAAAACGTCCGGAGTATCAAAAACAAACTGGGTACCCTTCGGGCCCATTCTCCTGTTTTTGAGCGCTTTGACATCCTGGCCTTGACGGAGACGTGGTTGAAGCCGTATGTCGGTGATTCCGAGCTTCAGCACGGACTCAGCAGTCACGTGTGGTTCCGCCGGGACCGTGAGGAGTCGGTCGGGGGTGGTGTGGCCTGTGCTGTGAGGGCCGCTCTCCAGCCTCTTCGACGCGCCGAGGTGGAGCAGGGAGAGGTCCTAGTGGTTGACCTTGTTGGTCTCCGTCCGGCAGTCACAGTGATTGTTGGCTACCGGCCGCCGGATGATGACGCGGCAGTGACATCTATAGTGAATGTGCTCGAGACTGTATGTTCTGCTGGCCGGTCTGTGATTATGCTGGGTGACTACAATCTTCCTGAGATCGTTTGGCACGGGCCGGATCGTCCTCCCCAGCTGCTGCGGCGGTCTGCGCGTGCCACCACCTTCTTGGATGCTGTCGACCAGCACGGACTGCGCCAGCATGTGCTGCAGCCTACTAGAGAGAACAGCACACTGGACTTAGTGCTGACGAACATCAGCGGGGTGCAGTGTGACTCTGATGTCGGTTATTTTGACTCTGACCATAATCAGGTCACGGCAACATTCACAGTGCCTCGGACGGGCTGCGCTCGTGTGACACGCAGCACTGCTCTTAACTATCGGCGAGCAGACTTTGACGGTCTGAGGCATGCACTGCGGCTCTTACCATGGAATATGCTAGATGATCTTGCTGTTGATGACGCTGTTGAACTGTTTTATGAGTGGACTGACGCGGCAATATCAGATCACATTCCGGTGGTGACTCTGAAGGCTCGCTACCCACCATGGTTCGATGCAGATGTTAAGCGAGCGTTGCGCCAAAAAGAGATTGCCCACCGCCACAAGAAACAGTCACCTACCGATGAACGGATTAAACGGTTTGCAACCTGTAGGACCCAGTTTAAGAGTTTAGTCCTGTCCAAGTACCGCAGATACATGTTGCACATCGTCGATGACTTCAAGAACAACTCGAAACGGTTCTGGTCTCTGTTAAAATCCGTAAAGTCTTCAAAAAATGTTTCTGTTCTGAAATGTGATGGTACACTGTAAAAAATGTTAGCGCAGTTTGAGTTTTCTGACTCACTTTAATGATGTGTTCAAACAACTAACTTGCTAATGAATCCGTATTTATCGAGTAACTTAAACCTTATTGCGAAGCAAAACACGGTTAGTCCAAATCAGGATGAACTAGCTCGGAATTCCCATGTACAATGACACTGTTGGAGTAATCGCCATGTATTCATACCCGCAATTGGCGAACACTGTGTTCCGAAACACGAATACGATTTTGTGAAAGCATCTTTGCGCACGGTTCTACCGTGTTGAATAACACGGAGTGTTTTACCCCGCTGCGTCGAGTTTAAAAACCCGAATGAGGTTATTTGGGCCGCAATCTTGAGAGACATGAACACCAATTACCTAACACTGTGGGTTGCTAACTTACTCGGTTCAGTTTCGCGCCAAATGCAGCGCCGCGTGGGCCTCAGTCGCCATCTTCGTGCGATCCAGGGAGCTCGTGTCTGTGCTGCATCTGACGTCTTGTTGGTAAGTACAAGTGATACTTGCTCCAAATTTTTTTTTTAGCAATAACATCAGTGATATTAAATGTCTTTTAGGCGTGGTTACATAAATATTATCCGTGTAAGGTGGCGTTATGGGTGGGAAGGAGGAGCCCTCGGCCCTGATTCTCATTCCATCTGTCAGCCCACCATTGGTGGCTATGTGTGCGTTTGTAAATATGTTAAACATGAATAATTTTGACTGTACCTTTTTTTGCTATGTATCTACCAGCCAGTTATGATAAGTCTGCCTGGTTTCTCTCTTGCCCCTCTCTCTCTCTCTCTCTCTCTCTCTCTCTCTCTCTCTCTCTCTCTCTCTCTCTCTCTCATGGTATCTCGCTCTGCTTTTCTTTTTGTCTGTGGATAAGAAGTATAGGTAGACATCTGCTTGGCTGCGAACTGACACAATTTATTTACTTCAGATACGGCTCAAGATGAGCAGAATGAAGGTCAATCTCGAAGTCCCACAGTCAGAGCTCAAGACCTGTGAGGCAGGACTTCATTCCTTGATGAATGCGGCTCAACTGCTAACAGGATAAGAAGGTATTGTCCTATTTCTGCCGATTTAGGTATTTTTTTTAACATATCGCAAATCACAATTAGTGTCTGCATGGGACTCGGTTGTATTTTAGTAAACTAGGGTTTTGCCTCCGATAATATGAAGCCGATATTGAAAATTAAAATCACATGTTTAACATATTTATTATCGTCAAAAGCATAACCGATTACCGAAATCCGACGAGAGCCCGGGCGCCCCGGCGCCCCGCTCTACCCCTGCGCAAGGCCCCTGCGCTCTCCCTTCCTCTCTCGTCCCGCTCCCGTGGTCAGCTGTCCCGCTGTCCAAGCGCCAGGCCGTTGCCATGGCGACGGCTGACGGCCTCCTCTGGCGGACGGATCCGACGCCGAAACTCAGCAGTCTGTATTCACTATATACCGTGTCTGTATTTTGATGTGCACAGTGCATTGGCTATTGGGTTTATGTTGGCAGTTGGACGATACCGATAATAGGTATAGACTATAGAGTCGATGGTGAACTTACCTAATCGCCAATTTCGTGTTAGTTTATTAGCGTTGGCCTTTCGTGTAAGAGTATAATGGCAGGGAATGGCCATTTAGAGGTCAAGGAACAGTCACCAGTAGCGGCGGAACACCTTCAATTAACCCGCGCCCGCTGGAGGGGGGGGGCAGAATCTGCCCCCCCTCCCGTTTTTCGCCAATAACTTCTAAACGCGTTATGCCAGCAACGTCAAACTTTCAGTACCTTATCATACATCAATTTGACACGTTCCCTGAAAATTTGAGCGAAATCCGTCGGAACATTTTTGAGAAATTGACGTTTTAGTGACGTCATGTTCGCCATTTTCGCCTAAAAAACCGCAAAATTTCAAACGCCGCTAACATCTTCATTTTTAAAGGAATCAAGACGTATCAAAAAAGGTTTTACGTGATTGTCTATCAAATGGCTATCTCGGTTTTTTGAAAATATTGGCTTTCGGCCCAAATGTTTTAAAAAAACTGACTTTTTGGGGAAAATAATTATAAAATCCAAAATTTTGAGTGTATCGAAAAAAACGGAATATATGTCAGAGAAGTGGTCTATGTGCACCTACACACCAATTTTTAGAAGAATCAGTTCAAAAATGTGGGAGTTATTCAAAATTTTATGACGTCACGACACACAAAAATTTTGAAAAATGATTTTTTGGAAGTTCTAGACCTCGTACGGAAACAAAAATAGCACCATTCGATTCGCCGTGAAAAACTGCATCAGATAGACACCTTTGTAGGCCTTAACAACCAACTTAAAAATTTGACCTCACTTGACCTGACTTTGACCTGACCTCGACCTGACATTCATACAGAGGTGGTCCATATCACTAATTGAGTGTGCCTATTGAATTCTATGAGTAAAATGACCCATAAAACATGTGTCGCACATGCCCTTTTCTATATTTTGTTTTTGGTGACCTGACCTGACCTGACCTTGACCTTTGAATGACATTGTATGCAACGAATATTGTCTTGGTAGCCTAAGAACACGTTTTAGGCAATCAGTCTCAGTCCATTCTTCGGCAACTACGGTGCAAGGCCGATACTGTAGAAACTTGCATTTTGTACCCTTGACCTAACGTTGACCTGACCTCTGACCTACTTAAGCAAAAAAAAATTGGGCTCTTAAGATCCGCCTTGTTGAGAGCTTTCGATTGTCGTTTTCCCCGTCTTTCTACTTTCTACGACCATCGGTTCGGAAGTTAGACAGGGGGGGGGGCAGAATCTGCCCCCCCCCCCAGCAGGGCGCGTATGGCTGAATAGCCCAGCGGGGCGCGGGTTAAGGGGGGGGGGGCACTGCCGACTTTTGGTCCCATTCTTTCCATGCAACGCCCATAGGGCTAATGTTAAAATGCCCAAATCAAAGGGGGGCACGGTGCCCCGGTGCCCTCCCCGTTCCGCCGCCTATGACAGTCACTTCAGTAGATGGTGCGAGCTTAACCCGCGACGCCCGCGATCCGCTGGAGAAGGGGAGGCAACCCTGTTGTTTTACACTGAAACGGCCGCGATTTTTAACTCGCCGATTCTAGTACTTCTCCGGACATCAATCTCACTAAACTCCTGAAAAATGCGTCCTAGGTTACCTCGGGTCATGGGGGTCAAGCTGAGGTCATGTTCGGCCATTTTCCGTCGAAAAAATACAAAGTTGCTCACGAGAAAAAATCACAAAATAGATTTTCAATCAAGAGACTCAAAAATCGCACATTAGGTACAGAATGCATGGCAAAGGAAACTGCTACCACAAAATTTCCAAAAAAGAAATATCAAGATTTTGATATTTCTACACTCAAAACTCCTCCAGTTTTTTTTTTTTATTTGGGAAAGTTAAAAACGGAGCATATGTCGGAGAGATCCTAATTCCTTATTGCCTTTACAGGGTGTCTCAAAAAAGGTGTCACGGTTTTGAACATCTCCCGTTTCGTAACCATACACATCCTTAAAATTAACAAAATAGTTGTCTTTAAAACTGCCAGTGATATAGTTATTTGAAAGACTAAAAAATAAAAAGCGACTGTTCTTGTGACGTCCGATTTTTTCAGCACTTGTTAGGTACTGAAAGTAGTCTAGAGTAATATCTACGATACTTGCCCCTCTTCCTGATAAATAGGTATCAACGTTCTGTCGTCTCAATCAACGTGATAAGTCACTTAATGTAATAAACTGTTTGTCATTGTAAGCTGCTACAATTTGACCTTGCTTGCCGTCCTGTGATGTCATAGGTCAAAGAAAAATGACGTCGAGACGCGTCGAATAACCTATAAGTTGACCCGAAAAGGTCAACTTAGAAGTTTGACCTCAGGTCAAGGTCACGGAAAAGGCCATGTTGCATGTCATTCGATTCGTATTGTTAAGCTGAACACATTCCTGGTGTTTTCAGAAACTATTTGAGACGGTTCGTGACCTGGGATGATCTCAGAGGCATTAAAGGGCCCGAGGGGTCACAGGTGCAATTTTCCGGTTCATTGTGCCATGTTCATCTGTGTCCCGATGTTTGAGGGTATTTTCGGCCAAAAGAAGTGGATTTCAATTTTCTTCCATTGACTATAAAGTCAATGGAGAGGTCACAAAATCGACGTGACCTTAGGTCACATATATCAAAATTCAGAGATATGCAAATTGTTCACAAGCTCATACAATAGCATGAGTTTCAAACTTCTGGGATATACGAATATACTTTAGAGATGACTGAATCACAAAGTTTAAATAGGCATGATCACTTAACTTGGCCTGTGACCTAACCTTATGTGACCCGGGGTCGAAAATATTACTCACGATGCGAAATTGATGTTTTATAAGCTATACCAAGTTTCGCAGCGCCGCTGGCCGCGATTTTTTTTAAACTCGAAAACAACTGGCAGGTGTGGCCCCCCCTCGCCCCCTCCCCCCTCCCAACCCCCACCCGTGCGAAAGTTAAGGTGTGTATCAGTATGCCGTTCATTCATGCACTTCGTCATTTACTAACATTATTTCTTTCTTATTTCAGACACGGACCAGGAGAAGTTGGACGCTTTTTAGAATTTCCCCTCGTACCGCTAGTGTCATGGGCGGAGGGGAGCGAGGCTGCGCTGCGCTGCCATCTCCGAAGACAACACGCCTCTGAGTGTGCGCCTCCTAGTTTGTGCGGCAATGTTCCCCGTGTTCAATGAAAAAATTAAATGCCCCAGCGCTCAGAACTCCCATCTAGTATTGACGCAAGAGCTCTCCCAAATGTCGACCGGAAAGTCGTTAAAAAATCGTTGCGACGGTCGGCTCGACAAGCTGAAGACCGCGCCAGTGAATGCATTTGAAACGACACCTGTACGCTCCCATCGCCAGGCCCAAAGACGTGTTGTTCATAGGTGTCTTTCACAATACTAGTGTTGCTGATCGCGGAGGACCACTGTCCACTGCTCGTCCGCTGTGGCGTTACTTCTGATGAGGCTCAGAGCGCATGTTTACTGTGAACAACCTGTTGAAATATATAATGACTAGATTTGTACTCTGAGACTTAATGAACTTGGCTAACGAGGATGTAAGTTAAAGCAAAACGAACTGTGTTACACGCCTCAATAATTATGTGGAATGAATTGTATGAATGTATACTTCATGTCGATTTATTGCGATTGAAGACGTTACCTCTGTTTAAACGCGGCTCGGCCTGTTACAGCCCCGTTTGCATCAAAGAAGGTACGCCTTTCATCGTAATAATAAGTCGACATGAATTATATATTTATATATTCATTCAACATGATCATTGAATCGTGTAATGCAGCTCATTTTGCGTTAATATACATTCTAAAAAGAGGTACTGGACGGGAAGTATATGAACACGAACCGAGCTACGAAACACGTTACACGTTTTTGGCGTGCTCAATAACATCTTATACTCCGATATGTTAACACTTTTAGGATTCCGAAGCAGAGCACAGTAACACGAGTGTAGCTAATTAACACCTTACATGTTTAATGCGAGTATTGTAGCACGCCTTTCAATGCACTAGAAAGTCAATGACGAGTTATGAAACTCGTAGCACGTTTTTAGCGAGTAGCGGAACACTACAAACAATAGACTTAGAACTCGTTCTAGTGTTATCTAACACGGCCTTTCCGTGTAAGATAACATCACTAAACGTGTAACATCACACGGTTATACCGAGTCGTTTTTGTCCATATAACACGAAACGTGTTATGATTTTTTACAGTGTAGAATTATATCTGACGATCGTGATAGAGCCGAATGTCTGAGTCGTGCGTTTGCTGCAAAATTTTCTGACCCAGCTGTCGTTCATGACTTACCTGTGGCACCGAGTTATGACGTAGATAGTCTGTCAAGGTTTGTTGTGAGCAGTGACAAAGTTAGAAACATTCTACTTACCCTTGATGTGCATAAGGCTTGTGGACCAGACGGTCTTAGTGGTAGAATTTTGAAGGAGTGTGCAGCAGAGTTCACTGTGCCGATCACAAAACTCATTCGACTTTCGCTGAGCCAGGGCACCTTTCCTAGAGTCTGGAAACGCGCGTACGTTACCCCGGTTCACAAGAAGGGTGACCGCAAAAATCCCAGCAACTATCGCCCGGTTTCCCTCTTGCCGATTTGTTCCAAAATATGTGAGCGCATCATATGTGACCAAGTGATTCAACACGTGTCGCCCGTTTTATCCTCAGCACAGCACGGTTTTTTAGCAGGACGTTCATGCGAGACCAATCTTACCTGTCTTGTCGATCAGCTGTGGCGTTCGATAGCCGAGGGGGCTCAGACTGACGTAGTTTATACGGACTATTCGTCGGCTTTTACTAGTGTTGACCACTCTCTGCTTTTACATAAGCTACAGAAGTCATACCATTTGTCTGGTGCCGCTCTCAATTGGTTCCGTTCTTACCTGAGTAGGAGAGAGCAGAGTGTAGTGTTGAACGGCAAGTGTTCTGACTGGGTGCGTGTGAAGTCAGGAGTGCCGGAGGGCAGCATATGTGGGCCAATCCTGTTCGTCTTATTTTGCAACGACGCCCCTCTCGACATATCTTCTGGGTGCCTGATGTATGCAGATGATCTGAAATTGTACCGTCGCATTCGAACTGCTAGTGACTCTTTGGCTCTTCAAGCAGACGTAGATAAATTGTGTCTTTGGTCAGGTACGTGGAAGTTAGCTCTGAACCCATCTAAATGCAAAAGTATCACGTTCACACTTCGTGGAAAGCCTTTAGATACAACCTACCACATTGGCGGTACTGCACTGGAACGTGTGAGCCAGATGCGTGATCTTGGTGTTCTGCTTGACTCAAAGTTGACATTCGGCCCCCACATTGATGAACTTGTAAGAAAGGTAAACCGCGCCTTGGGCATGTACTTGAGGTCGCTTCAGAGTTATCGAGCTCCCGCCGGCCGTAGGCTACCGCCAGGACCTATAATGACAGGTTTCAATGCCCACATTCGTGCAATCATGGAATTCGGTTGCGTGATATGGGGCGGAGCAGCAAAAACTCATATTGCGAGATTGGAGCGTATCCAACACAAGTTCCTGATGTGGTTGGGCACTGGGCAGGCATTCAAACAGTCCATGTGCTTCTCTTGACTATACTGATCTGCTTCGTCATTTTGGTGTCTTGCGAATTGACCAGCGGCTTGTTCTGAATGACTTGAACTTCGTGCAGAACGTGTTCACCGGCAGGATCGACTCCGGTGACATTCTTGCGATGTTTTCACTCGCTGTACCATCGCGAACTCGTTCCAAGCCTGTGCTGTACGTGCCTGCAGCAAGGGTTGACACAATCAGAAACGGTTTGTTCTGTCGCTTGCCACGAGCTGTGAACAGTCTATGTGAGAAACGGCCCACTGCTGACCTGTTCGGATCCCGGGCGGCGTTTAGAAGTCAGGTGAAGGCATTCGTATCGAGTCTGTAACCTTATTTATACATGTGTTAGTTAGACATAGGTAGGTGTGTGAAAATGTGGCGTATATTTATGCTTGTGACTCCGTCTGTAAATGGGGTGCACCTGTGGACGGTATATTTCAATACACAATACACAATACACAAAAAAAGCTGAGACGAGCTTCCTCTTGATCGACGTGCGTGCTTGCACTGATTTTAACGTTCTGAATATGAATATCTTGATGTGTGTGTATGTGTGTGTGTATGTATGGATCAGCCCCCTCCAAAGTCATATGGCAGCATGGGCGTGACTTTTCCTACTAGCCCATAGGGTTGCGTGTTAAAATGCGACTTTTCGCGCTCGGTTTTCAAGGTTTCGTAGTGTGGGCATCCACATACAAAGTATGTCAAAAGATAGCTACAACATTTTTATTTCCATTTTTGGGATGAAAAGTTCAAGCCCATCCAACCGTTTTCGAGATATTCGTCCATATATGACCCCATGTTTTTGATACATCGGAAGGCCCTGTGTTCGAATCTCGGACAGACCAAAACTTTTATCGTTAATGTGCGGCAAACCATTGCTGCAAAGTAAAGTAGGGGTGAGCGCGCTGGTGATGGAGGGTTGTAAGTTGGCATACCTGACCTTTGATTCAAGCCGGATTTTGTGGTACCAACCTCATTTCCAGGTCAGGTCAGGTCACTGACCTATGACGTCATAAGTGAACCTCTGCACGGTCTCAAAAACGTCGTAACATAGTAACTCCATCAATTCAAGGAGATCTATCACAGATAGATGAAACTTACAGAACTTATCAAACTCCCTTATTCTCAAAAGTCGTTAACTTCGGATTTCTCCTAAGGGTCACCTAACGTCAGGTCGGTCAGGTGATCTGGCCATTATAAGCCGATGGGGGGGGGGGGGATATAGAGACAGTTATTTTGGCGCTGACAGTGATCTTCATCTTAGACGGAAAAGACACAAATAGATTCAGAAAGACCTGCCAAATTGAATAACGTGCAACTTGACCTCATCATGAGGTAATGACCTGACCTGACCTTGGACGGAGGTCAACATCCTAAATTGACCTCACCCATACACAAAACATATCATTCGACGTGGCTGAGCATGACGAACACGATGGTGTCAAAATTGCAGCTCTGATACCATTTTAGGCGACCACCGAACAATCCACTTCCTGGTATGCCAATGCTTTTATTATCTAAAGACGATAAACAGTGAACATTCTCATATGTATATGCAAACATGCCACTTTGGGTTACAGAGTAAGTGGTTCCCAATCGTACATACTACACGTTCCACACATCACACTACCGCTCGTAATTGCAATGCAAATAAGCTTTGGCTCGTTGGAAATAAACTTTGGCATTGGAAGATGTCACGGTGTTACACTAAACATTGACCACAATTAGATATCAGGTATCAATATCAGTAACATTCAGCTCATCCTCAACACATAACAATCAGACGGAGAACACTACCTACAGTAAACCTCAAAGAGGTTTTGGCCATGGTAAGCAATGAGGCATAGCTGCGAGCAAGATCTTCGATCTGAGAAAACATGAAGATGAAATTACATGCATCACACTTGCAATAAAAACAAACTCAAGTGATACTTATCTTTGAAAAATCAGGATGAAAGAACATCAACCTATTTGAAAACATAACAAGCATTATCAGAGGAATAATGCATGGTTATTTAAAAGACCTGTTAATATTAAGGTAGTGGATTGTTAACAGGATCTTAGAATGGTCGAGAGATGTTGCCTTCAGAAGGATTTCCTTTCCTCATCAATCAATCAATCACACATTATTGATGTTTACAAATGAACACCGGGTGGTGCACACCCTGAAAGTCACAGCTTCACACAAGCTGTTGTCTATGTTGAAAACTAGGCTTCCTTCCTGTTCAGATTAAGACAGTTGATGGCACCTTTGGTTAGCCTTGTTCAAGGAAGCATTCATTTTGCCAGTGTCGGTAGGGCAGCCTTGCTACATATAGGAATCTTGAGCCAGGCACAGCATACATGTAGTAGTGCATGTCTTGTCCTGAAAAAGGATCAGAGATATATGGCTAAGGAAGTCATGAATGGAATTGACTCAGGCTGCTCTGAGGATGATTGACCACAAAGACATGGCTATTGTGAAAGCCCTGAAATAACTTATGAACTGGTGTGTTTTGAGTGAGGTGGAGTATCAAGAACAGCATTAAAAAAGAAAAAGTAAAAATTGACCTAAAAATTATCTTCCATGTTTAGATTCAATCACCTAAATCTTACGCGTTTTCATACAAACTTAAAATACCAAGAAATTGCACAATTATCACTAACATGAGGCAACAAATGCTTCTTTCTACTTACTATCCACTTTCATGGATGCAGGATGCATGTGTTTTGATTTCATTATCACAGCAACACAGTTGTACGAGATGCTTACACAAAGTATTATGTTATATGTTGATGTTATTCAGCTGGAGCCTGGGACAGTGATATTGTATTGTTAAGTTTGTTCAAAACCAATGTCCCAAAATTTGCCAGTTTTGGGTGGGAAGTGACATCCAACTGAAATCAATTTTCCACTTTCATCTCCAATTT